AGGGCTTTTAGGAAGTGATAAGGCCCTGGTTTCGACGTCTCAGCCGGGAAAGCGGATTGCTTTTCGTCGAATATTTTTACCTTAAAAGCCTCCGGTGTCAGGTCTAGGATAGAGATCCGATTATAGTACCTCTGACGAAAAACCCAGATTGATAAAAGGTATGTTTTTACCAAATTGAATATGTAAATAAAGAAGAAAATTATATTATAATGCTTATAAATTATATAAAAATGCGGAGTAATAAATATATAAAATTATGAGAATGTTTATTTGAAAATATTTTTATTTATTGTACTTTTCTTGTATCCAATAAAAACTTGTAATGAAATTTTAGCACACTCCCATCAGTACGATTTTTTTTTTTTAATATTGCCTGCTGCTCAATCAAGGATAACAGTAATCAGTGCCGGCCTTAGACATTTGGCGCCCCCGGACAATTTAGTCATCTCCATCCACCTTAAAAAAATTAAATTTATTTATTAAGCGGTTTTATATTATGCAGTACTTGAATTTAATTTCATTCATTATTTCTCAAAAACAGTTGCTTTGTTAATAGGCTAAAATTAATTATTTTAATAAGTTTTGTATTCTTTTTTAAATTTCTAACAAGTGGCGAGCTCTCAAGATGATGTCCCCGATGGGCGCCCCGGTTGCTTCGCCCTAGGGGCGGCGCTGATAGTAATCGTGAAAAATAAATGTATTTACTCCATATTTACAGAAAATATTAAAAAAAAAAAAATTAAATTATTGATATGTGATATATGGAAATAAAAAAAATTGATAATGAATTAATAAAACAAAGCATATCTGTGCAAGAATTTTTGCATTAGAAATATTCTTATATAGAAAATTCTTCTTGTGTACTTGAAGTACACGCGATATTAGGAGAAAAAAAGAATATATATGTATTGCTATGTATTGAAAATTGCAAATAAGGTTTTCAAAATTATTATGTAAGTTGAATGAAACCGACTTCCGACATCAAAAACAGCGTCAAGGGAGGAGGAACATATAGAAAAGGACCGAGACCCATACCTGGCTCGAGGGAAGGCTCAGAGTAAAAACTAGTAATGGGCTAAGTAACTGGTTCCTTTTAGGGTATTTCCAGTTATTGTGAAGTAATGGTGATGTTAAGGACCAATGAAAACCATCCTTGTCCCACCCTGAATATTTTCTATAAAATCTACCAAGAAGGAAGAAAAGAGGTCTTATGTTGATTTCTGGCCTGGAGGATAAGTCTCATGTTTTCTTCCTTCTTGGAATGAAGCCTTGGCCCTACATAGACCACACAGATGGGCGTCTTGGAGAAGTTTTTGGACCTGGCCTTGAAAAGACGACCTCGGATCAGCGGATGCAGCAATGAAATCTACCAACCACACCACTTCATATACAATAGATAAGTGTAATTCCCAACCATAATGTTAAAATATTTCATGGCAAAATAATTCTCAAACAGTCCATCTGAAATCATGCCTTCACAGTTAATTATTGAATTCATTGAATCACATATTTTGTTCTTGTAAATATAATTTGTATATATTATTTATTTAACATAGAAATAAATTAAGTTTTTTAGTAAAAGTTGTTTTAATTCTGCCACCCATTCATGTCTTGATGATCACAGGTAATGTAGGTAATTAGAAAACATGATAAACACAAACCAGCTTTTGAGAAAAGAACTCTAATTAATTAATTCTGGACCAATCAATATAATATAGATCCAAATTTATTTTACTAATTTTTTTTAAACACTGTGACATCCCGATAAATATTAGGACCCCATATCAGGATGTATATATTGTAATTTGTATAATGTTTCCACATTATTATGCAATTTTCAACATTAAAGTTGAAAAATGTATTTAATAAGTTCAATTATAATGTTTTTATAGACATTCTCACATAACTATCCAGACTGTGAATGATTTTTTTTTTAACTTGAAAAAGTTCTAGAAATGTGCTAATGTTATAGAGACTTTTCTCCTTCCAAACATATTGTAATATATCCAATTGTTTTGTTCAGGTATTTTCAAGTATATCCATAACCACATTAAAAAATCCTATAATTGCCTGGACATATATATAAATTTATTTTTCAATATCCAATATTGTATTTGTTTGTTTCACAATAATTATGTTGAATTTGTTGACATAATATGAAGTACCACCGTAAATATTTTTGGTTTTGGTCAATTGCCTAAATCAAAACGGAATGTCTTCGCTAGGTCTAATGTATTATTTATACTTAGGTTTTTTCCTCGCTAATCATTTATTTGATTATAATAAATAATCAAGTTCCATGAAATATTTTTAATTTAAGCATTGGTAAATATATATATATATATATATATATATATATATATTTTTTTTTTTTTTTTTTTTTTTTTTTTTTTTTTTTTTTTTTTTTTTCGGTTGGCTCTACAGACCTTGTAGACCTTTGGCCGCCTGAACCAGCCTTCTCCACCTCTGCCTATCTTGGGCTACTGCTTTCCAGTTTGCTGCATGAAGCTCAGCCGTATCTTTCTTTATCCTATCTATCCATCTGGTTTTTGGCCTCCCACGTGGTCTCTTGCCTACTACTCTGGCATTCATTGTCGTGTAGAGGCGTCCTGATGGATTACTATGAGCTACATGCCCTGCCCATCTTAACCTCCTTGCCTTCATGTCATGAGATATTGACTGACCAGTTTCTTTCAACAGTTCTTTATTGTTCCTTCTTCTCCATGTGTCAAGGTTCTGATTCCATATAGGTCCTGTTATCCTACGTAGAACTTTTCTTTCAAATCTCTCAATTCTGGCTTCTAATGTTATATATATATATATACATATATAAATTTTTATTTTTTATATAGCTGTAATCTATACAATAAAATATTAAATAATGTCAACGCTAGCATTTATGAAAACCGCTCATGCTTATGTATAGTAACCTGTTCTAACTTTCAGAAAAGCATGGCTGTGCACTCGGGTTTTATCGGTTCTTAATTAATACGAATTATATTAGGTTACTTTTCCTTTATATAATTATCGATTTTCTTTCATATTTAATCATTTTCTATATCATGTTCCAATGTTAAATGATTAATTATTTCAAATAAAAAAAAATTAATAGTACTTTAGAGGAAGAAATTTTGAAAATTAGGCATTTAAGCCCTTAATAGAGAGCATTAATGAGAATAAGACCTATATTATATTAAAAATCGTTTAATATATTTCACACTTATGTAATGAATTTAATCAAAATCGTTAGAGCTGTTTTCAAGAACATCGTGGAAATGTCAATGATGTGATGCTTTTGATAATCCCTGGCACTTCTATCTACCCCACATCATTGGAATTTCGAAGAACAAAAAAAAAATCAATATCAATTAATCTAAATGAATGAATAAAATATGTAAACTAAAATAAAATAAGAAAATAGAAAAAAGGCTAATCTAAAAAAAAAAAAATCCAACTAGATGGCTAATCTTAGGCCTAAAAGTAGGAACACAAGTATTTTACAATGCCCTAAACTCCTATTATTGAAATTTTGAACATATGCATTAACCTAGAATAAGCCTTTGTACTGGGAAAATTTCCAAGCATAAAAATCTTTTCTGAATAATATTTCTAATTAAGTAAGCTCTTCAGCTAAAAATTGTTTCATTGTACATATTTTTCTAGCAACGATATTAATTAATGGAAGGATATTATTTTCAACTTGCTCACAAGCAATTGAAAATTTATTTTAGTCATGAAACAAATGTTTGTTGATCAAAGCAGAATAGCTGCATCACATTTTCATTAAAACCTGTTTCATCGTAACATTATTTTGTTTATTTAGGTAAAATATTCTTATATATTAAACTTAAATATAAAAGAGAAATTTAAATACATTTTAAATATAAAATATGATTCAACTAATGGTGCAACTTTTTTTGGTTTTCAACTTGTTTATTGAGAAATACTACATTCTGTCTCAATTAAGGACATTTATAATAGAAAACAGAGAGCACATTCACAACATATTTACAAGAAACATTAATAAATAAAGTAATATATAGAAGTAAGAACAATATGAAATAGCATAAAGTGAAATTTACCTCAGTGTTATATTATTCGTTTTTCAATAATTATGTTTATTATGTTAATTATCACTTATAATTTCTATATATAATATAAACTCTTCACTTTTAAGGGGAAGAGAGATCCATTGCCCCCATCAACCCAAATGAAAAATCTGTGCCTATGACTAAGTCTGTTTTATAACTTAACTCCAATTATGCATAATTACAAAAAGCCTGAGGATCACTACCATTTCAACCTTTGAGGAGAGTTGTAGGAAGCCAAGAACTTGATCATTGATTTTGAAGAATTAAATAAAAATTCTTAGCCTGCTTGTTCCTTGAACCATTTATTCATTGTCCAAGATTCCGCAGTGGTCTGTAACATAACATTACAATCAGTAATGTTATATCATCCGGCTTTAGGCCCGAGTAACCGAGGGGATTGCCCCAGGGTGCCGAATTGGGGCGCCTGTTAGGGGCCAATCTTTATTGATGTTTGCCACTTGTTAAAAATTAAAAAAATAATAACGTATTAAAATAATTATTCTTATCCTATTAATAAAGCAATTGTATTAGATAAATGTCGAATGAAATAAAATTCAAATATTACATAATGTAAAACAACTTAAGAAATAAATTTCATTTTTGGGTATATTTTACTTGAAGATGACGTGATACAGGGGGATGACGTCATTGCCCGGGATTGCCAAAAGTCTAAGGCCGGCACTGACCACAGTTATACCCCTACTTTTCATCTCTCAACATATGTTTAACATTTCTCCAATTAGAGAATCGTGCTGTAAACGACATTCAAAACGATCATAGTCTGTTGCTATCACTCAATAATTCTTGGTGGACTGTTTTATCCAGTAAATAGATCATCAGTTATTTTATTTTATTATTTAATAATATTAATTTACTCAGTGATATCAGCTATATATATTTCCTTTACAGTGTGTGCCATTGAGGACAGGAGGGAACAGGAAAGGATTTGAGTGTCAATGCCTACCTGGCTACATGGCCCCTCAGATTCTGAATTACTCCAGGGAAAACTACGACCTGGACATGGTCGAAGAGCTTATAAAGTGAATATATATTTTTAAAAAATATTGTAACACTGCAGAGTAGTTATATTTAATCACTATATTTTTTTTCATATTAATGTATTCAAGAATTAATTTTCAGGTGCATTCCAAACTGCGGATATGAAACAAATTGCTCAGAACAACCACATTTGTTCTTAAAGACTATTGTGATTTGCGTACAAATAACTGCTATGGGCATAACTGTTGCTACAGGAATTTTAATTTTTAATAGAAGAAAATGCAAGGTATGCATGTTTTATATTTCTTTACTTTTGTTTTATAAACTTTCTTGTAAAAAAAAAAAAAAAAATATATATATATATATATATATATATATTCCTATTATATTTTTTTTTATGAAAAGTTTTAAAAATTATAATTAATAACAGCAATTTCTACTTCATGAAAAACTAAAGCCAATTGATATGTTGACCCAAAAAATAAAATAGAATAAAACTTACAAATAATATAATGATAAATATTACATTACCTTCTATGACAAACTTATCATTTAAAATAGTTCTGATTAATATTAATGATCATTATACACTAATCATGAAAAAGTGATTAGGGCAAAATTTTTAGTAATATATTTTTTCGCTTCAAATATAAAAAATGATCATACTCAAATTCTTGTAAATTGTTTACTTAAAATGGTTCATTAAATATATCTATCTTATACTGCAATTTTAAGCTGTAATTTTTCAAATTTTATATTTATATTCGCTTGTCTTTAACATTTATATAGAAAGGGCTCTAAGAGAATAAAAAAAAATGTAGAGGTATGATGTACACGGCATAAAGATTGGAAATGGTTGCCTATTCAATCTCCAGTTTGCTGACGAGCAGGTACTAATCACTTCAAAAACAGAAGATGTAGAATATATGATGAGACAGATTCTTCAGGAATACTCAAACTGGGGGCTGGAAGTCAGCAAAGAAAAAACAATATATATGGTCTTTAGTAGCCTAGGAGAATATCTACAATGGGAAAACTGGATTTTGAAACCTGAAGTTCAATTTAAGTATCTAGGAAGCTGGGTGAATATGACAGGAATATCAGACATGGACATTGAAAAGAGCATCAGCAATGGAAAGATAATCATCACAACTTTAAATACTGTAGAGTAAAGCAGTGTCCTTAAAAACAAAAACAAAAATGATTGTTTCTGAAAAGTGATACTCTCTATTTTGCCTAATCTATTTTGCCAAAATTAAAGAAACCAATCATAAAGATTACTACTCCGAGAAATGGACTATTAGAGGTGATTATATTGTGTCTCTTGGTTTCAAAAATTTCCAAATAGTGAAATAAGGAAACAAGTCAAACATCCTTAACGAATGGAGAACATCCTCCTTACCATCAAAACAATGAGGCTGAAGGGGTAGGGACATGTCATGAGGATGGAAGAGAGACGATAGGCTAAACAGATTTGGGATTTGAAACTGGAAAGAAGATGAAAGAAAGTTTTCCCGATGAGAACTATATACATAACTAGTATGTATAATGCATAAAGAAAGAAATGATGAACAGGGGCATGCGTAAAGGAGACTGGCTGAACAGAAGAAGATGGCAATAACTTATATTTGGTGACGACATATGACCAATGTTGTAAAAGTCATGAAATAAAAAAAATATTGATATCTTAAATAAATTTTTATATGGTGTCCAAATTGTCGTGGAATAGTTATATGCCTGACACCTAAATATATTAATTATTGCAATTCGTAAATTATGAAAAATGAATAAATTATCATGAAAAATTAAACTTTAGATCCATCTAAATGCCTATTAATATTAAGATGTTATTATAGTGGTCCTTTGTTTATATAATGGTCTCCGAACAAAGTGGTCAGACACATTATAAATATCTTATAATCACACAATGACTTAATCCTATATTGTATGACAATAAAAAGTTCAATTTCATGTATATGTTAACATTTATTTATAAACCTTTTTTTTTCAGGCAGTCGCTACAGGAATGTGGACAATATTAGAAACTCTTCTTTTTGGTATATTATTACTTTATGCATCAGTAAGTATCTCCTACCATAGGTTATGTTAGATAATTGATAATAATGTATTGAATTTAAAAAAAAAATGCCTAGCCCAATTTATTCAAAGGCAGAAATACTGAACACTGTTATATAAGAAAATTGATTGTTTGTACTAATCTAAATTAAACACGATTAGACAGAACAGACAAATTAAAAGAAAGCTAAGGCAAGAAAGATAGGCATGATAATACGTTATTCCTAGAAGTGTAACAAGCATTCCTCTACATATAGATATTAAATATCTGATATTTAATATAGATATTAGATATCTGAGTACTCAGGCCACTATGGTGTGGGTTCGATTCACACATAGAGACGTTAACATCTTCACCACAAAAGGCATAGAGGTAAGTTACACCTCTCTCTCATATGCCAGCTCCTGGTCCTCCAAATTTGGTGGTCAGACATAGGAATAATACCCCTATTCTATTAACACCTCTTATCCTATTAAAAACATCCACAAATAAAGAAGGTGCCAAAAATCCAAATAATCATGTGCTGGTAGACAAGAGACATCTAATCTCCATACAAGACATATAACAAAAGAACAAACTCCATCAAAGTGTAGAAGCTATGTTGGAGCAGATTATCATTCAGGCAATTATGGTGAAATCAAACTATATCAGAGATTGAGGTGAATCCACAATACAGCAGATAAGATGAAAAGAAGGAGATATGAAAGACTCCCAAAAAAAAATTCCTAAAATGAAAACCAAATTCTCCCTTGAACTGTACAACAACAGATTCAAACATTTGAACTCAGAAGGCCTCATTTTGGATCAATAATGGGAGGCATTAGGAGACAGAATTAAAAGAAACTGCTTCAATAGAAATAGGTATTTAAGAGAAACAAAAAGCCAAGGTGTTATATACGGAAGTATATGAAAATGCAGTGAAGTAAATACAAAAAATTAAAGTACTCAGTCTAACAAAAATTGATCATGCTACTCTGGACAAATATTATCAAACAATTATTACAGCCGCTAGGAAAAAGAGAAATGAAATAATAATAAAAGACCTAGCCAATACTACCAATTGCTATCTGAATACTTCCATCCACTGTCCTCTGTCCAAGTCCAATCCCACAAGATCAACATCAATGAAGATCTGGCCTAGTGTGCCCTTTTTTCTTTTGAATCTAGTTTGGTGGTCACCTATTAAATTTTTGTAATAGGTAGTGATTGAAAGTAGGCTATTGGTCATTGTTTTGTTGGCAGCCAGATGGAGCCCCAGGGCAGATTAGGCTCATATTCCAAGCATTTGGTATCCTATCCTCCCCTGGATATTTCCTGGATTAGTTGAAATAACTTGACTCATAAGCCTTCTCCCCCATCTTTAATCAGTTCTGATGGGAGATTGTCCATTTCTGGATCCTTTGCTGTTTTAAGCCTTTTTATAGCTATCCATATCCAGTATTTCTGTTTTTTCAACTGCTTCTGGGTCAGGTGTTCAACCACTTGGTGTGATCCATGTATCCTACCTTTGTGGGATACCCTTGATTGAGAAGTAGCTGGAAATGTTGTTTCCAGATGCTCAATATCTTGTCTTCTTATGCCATTGGAATGCCATTTTTTCCTTACACTTGCGTGTTTCTCCCTTGATATACTATCCTTTCTTTCCTAATGTCTGTATAGAATTCACGTATATCTCCAGTCTATCATTGTTCTCAATGGTTTGCAATCTCTCTTGGTGGAATCCCCTTTTTGCCAGGCTTATAATTTTTGTTTACCTTTTTCTTGGCAGTTGTATAATTATCCAGAGTAGCTTGACCGATTTGGCTAAGAGGATTTTCATTTTTCTTCTTTCTACTACTGCCTTTTCGTATGCTTATGTGAACCATGTCTTAGCTTTTAATTTTCCTTAAATATCTAACACTTCCTTAGCTGTTTCTTTTAGTTTTGTTTATATTACCTCCAGTGTTGGTATACCATGGGGCTCTCTCAGTCCAGGGTTCGAATTTATTCCTCAGCTCTAGTTGGAGTTTGGTTTTCACTTCAAGATTTTTTAAATTATGGACTTTCCATCTCCTTCTTTCCAGTTGATGCCCTGTTTTTTAAATTTGCTTTAATCTATGAGATAGTTTAATTCTAATCAGAGAGTGATCCGAATCACAATCTGGTCCACAGTAGCTTCTTACAGCTTATATTGCTTTTTGAAATGGTAAAAAATAAATAATTTAATTATTTTTACATTCACCGACGTTTGGGCCCTAAGATCATGCCTTCATCAGGGCTTTGAAAAAGAACCAGATAACAATAGGTACATATATATATATATCTAGGTATGTATGTTTATACGTCTTGTGTGTGTGTGTGTGTATATATATATATATATATATATATATATATATATATATATATATATATATATATATATATATATATATATATATATATATATATATATATCACTGAGCTTCCAATGCAAAGGTCCCGAGTTCGAACCCCGGCTGATGGCAGATAATTTATTTATCTGTTTCATTGGCCGTGGGACGACCTTGGGTCAGGAATCCCTCCTGGGGCACACCCAGCCTCTATAAATTGGGTACCCTTAATTAAATAACTGATTAAGGGGGAAAACCTGGCGGTTGAGCGTGATCTCGGTCATATCACCTCCTTGCACAACCGTTGACCTAGAAACAGTGCTTTCCCTAAATAGTATTGAACCCCAGGCTCTTCATGGGTTGTAGTGGTACATGTTTTTTTTTTTTTTTATATATATATACATATGTGTATGTATGTGTATGTATCTATGTATGTATAATTAACAATAGGTATATACAGGTATATAGCTATTGTTATCTGGTTCTTTTTCCCAGCCCTGATGAAGGCCTGAGCTTCGGGCTGAAACGGTGCCGAATGTAAAAATAAATAAAATTATTTATTTTTTATCATTTCAATTTTACTGAAGACCCCAACTACCCTTCTCTTCAATTATTCACTAAAGTCAACCATAAACCCACAATTATATTGCTTTCTGATATCTCTTGTCGACCAGCACATGGTTAATTTGTTTTTTCGCTCTTTTGGGACACACCCTGGAGTACTTGTGGATGTTCTTGTGTTAGAACATTGTACTGCTGATGACAAAAGCTTTAGCTGCTGTCAGACTGATAAATCTCACTCCATTGCCATGATATTTTTATGAAGGCTCTGAATTGGGTTCTCATTCTACCTTGGCATCGTTTACTAGTTATAAATAATATTTTTTCTAAATTTAATTAAATCTATTTTAATAACCAATTATAAATCATGAAATAATTAGGAATGAACAACAATATTTATTAGATTTAGATTTAGATTTAAGTAGAGGTATGTCCTTGGTTAAGAACTATTTTTCAAAACTTCCAATTTTAATCAAAATAATGTATTGGCCATAATCTTAAAAATGTACTTAAATATTCAATGTGTGAATTTCGCTTTATTCTTGAGAAATGTATGTCTAATGAAACCATGTGGATCCTAATGTATACAATCCTCACCTCACTTAACAAAGTGCCTTAAACATATTTTTGTTTATTGTGACCATATTCTACAGTCTTCATTTCCATCCTTTGATGCATGAGATTCTTTCTATGTTCCTAAAGATGATGGAGCTTCATAAATTACTTAAACCTGCTTCTTGGATCAATAGCTAAGTTTTCAGTTATCCATTCATCATATATCTACATTTTTTAAAAATAATTTTAAAATTTAACAAATGTAATTCTTCAAACAGGATGAATTAAAATGAATTGCTGCCTTAAAATTATATATTCAAGTATTTTTAGAAAGATTCATATTTTTATTTTTATTCTAATGTATGCTGTTTTTAATAATAAAAAGGGTTGTACTGATCAAATAATTATTTTCAGATGTTACCTCTCTCATTTAAGCCAACAGTTCAAAACTGCATAATAATGAGGTGGATAAGAGAATTAGGATTCATTATTTGTTATGGTGCTATTATACTTAAACTTTACAGGTAAACTAATCAAAATCATATTGAATAATATAACTAGTTGTTTAAAATTTATTAAACTTAAAAACGTCTAATTAAAAAAAAAAAAGTTGTCTCTTTTTAACAGAGCAATAAATTTTGATAAAACTTGGTACGTACAGTTCTTACAAGCCTACAAATGATTTCTTTGAGTAAAATAGCTTTCTTGAATTCAAAGGCATGGGTAATGCAGCCACATTGATGAAACTTTGTACACATTTCTTGTTGGTCATCTAAAAATATCTTATTTGTAAATTAGCCTCCAGTTCTAGCTTCAGGGCTTCATGGGAGAAAGGGTTGTGAATGCTTTAGAATAAATTAACGAGGTTTTTAAAAGTTTACGTATTCTAATAGTGATAGTGATATATAAACCTTCTTTTTTGGCTAATAAGGGAAGGTTATGAATGTGGGATCACCAATTTGGATGAAACCTTTTTGATGATACTAGGTCACAAAAATATTAGAGCCAGGTCTGAGACTTCTTGGCAATGTGTCCTAGGTGTCCAGAAATTTTTTTTTTAATTTTATTATTTTTTAATATTACTGTTTTCTGAGTTTGCTCTGGATGAATTTCTAACTTATTATTCATCAATCAATTTGTTTTGTTTTTTAAAATAAGAAAAACATATTGCTAATTGTATTGAATGAATTCTATTGAATAATAAATTACAAAAACTCAAAGACACTTCCAGCAAATTAGATGACGTAAATATTTGTCATGAAAAAAGTATTGTAATTGGTTTTTATCATGCACTTAAACCCTTGAATATAAGTTTGTTTTGGAAATAAAAAAATATAAATTTTTACGCTTAACTTTAAGTAATATACTTTTGATTATTATTTTTTTCTATTTATTTTATTTTTTTGTACAAATAGTGTGAATGTCATCCTACCTCACTATAACCAATGTCCAAGAGACAGATTGTTATAATACTCAATAAAGAAATTTAAAAAAAAACTTTATGTGAGGAATTTTTTCTACACAGTTTACTAAAATATCTATCACTTCTTAGGATTTTGTCTTAAGTCAACATTAGTACAAACATTAGAAAGCTAAATTATTGTTATTTAAAACTATATTAATAACTTTTAGAATGTATGCCTAAGGAATGGTATAAGTGAAATGCTAGATAATTATAATTCTTTAAAAAATTATTTTATAACATTAACATTGGAGTTGGAAACATAAATTTATTGCATTATAAAACATTTATGTATGATATACAGTTAAAAAAAAAAAAAAAAAAATGAAAATCTAGCCAACAAGATGCTATAAGAAAGTTGTGATATGAAGCCTTGACATCATCAAGTAATATTAATGCTCAAGATTGACCAAGAAAGTATTATATAAAACATTGTATAGTATCAAATACAAAAACATTAAATTTTTAAAAAAGTAAAATTTATGTAAATTATAAATTGTTCTGATAACCAACTATTACTTTTTTCTTCAATCTGCATTTATTTACAATGGAAATGTCCAGATAAATTTACTTTTAAAAAATTATATAAAAAATTAATTAAATCATATTTTCATTGATTTTTTTTTTAATTATCCTCTTCATTGGCAAATTATTATGTCATTTTGTAGTAACAGAACACGCTATGTATATCCCCACTTTAAAATTACACTAATAGCATGAATTCTTGAGGAATTGCAAGATTACATTATTTTATAAATTGTTTCACTAGTCTTATCACTTTTTTTATATAAAATACATCAAAGTGGAAACCAAATTTTATTAGTGATATAAAAAATTATGATTTATCTAATTAAATATCCTTATTGATTAAGAAAATAATCAAAATAAATAAAACATGAGAATTAATTGGGTCGTTAGAGAATGTTCCAATTTATTATTTAGGTTCAGAGGAAAAGAAGTAAGCATATAAATTTTGTGAACCACAAAATTATCTTTAAAAACTATATTGCAATGCAGTAGAATGGGTCAAGTCCTGTAATTATTAGTTAAGTGTATCAAATGTACAGTTAATGTGCATTAACTGAATAAAACCTTCTCTAATTAAAGTTTAGAAATTCTCATCATGAAATTCTCATATTACAATTTTTTATCAAAACATAAAAAATTAACTTTTTTTAAAAAAATAGGATACTTATGGAATTCAGAACTCGGAAAGCGCACCGATGGATAGTAAAAGATAAGGACCTGCTCAAATATTTAGGTGGTATGGTACTGATAATGTTTGCATATCTATCTGCATGGACTGCAACAAATCTGAATTTCATTAAAGAAGGATTTAGTATAGTCACAATAAGTGTAACGAATTCAGGAGAATATTTTGAAACTTGTAAACCATTATGGTGGGATTATGTCACACAAGTAGGTAAGTTAATTTTTCATAACTTGCTTATTTGCATATTTGTTATATGGAACATCTAGATTCAAAAAGATACTAGTGACAATTCACTGGTTTGAATAAAGTATTACTAAAGTTTAAATCAAATAAAAGCTTCCATTATATATGTTTAATTAAGGTCTAGTAAATGTGTATCTATCTAAATATTCAAAAATCATATTTTCTAATAATATATCATACTTTGTCTTTACAATAATTTTTTTTTTTTTTACAGGTGAAATAGTGATCCTACTATTCGGCCTACATCTAGGCATTGCAGCAAGGAATGCTACAGTTCAATTTGTGGAATTAAGGTACTTGGTGGGAGCTGTGGCAATGGAAACGACTGTTAGTTCATTTTACTATATCGTCCACGCAACTCTCTGGAAGACCCTACATCCAAATCACGCATATTTAGCTGCATTTATTCGGTGTCATTTCACCTCAACGTTTGTGCTGGTGTTGATATTTGCACCTCTTGTGAGTATAAAATAAAATTAGAATAATAGAGATTTATTTGTCTAAATATGTTAATACCTTATTAGAAAATGTATATAGCTCTGACAAAACCATACATAAACATGTGGTTGCATCAATTTATTTACCACATCACTGAGTAATTAATTTTTGTTGATTTACTTTATTTCTATATTTAAAGGATTAATCATCTTTAAGTAACAACCAAGAAACATCAAAAGTTATTCTTCATAAGGACTTTTTGATTCCAATAAAATAACAATATAAACAATGTACAGTGGTGGCAAAAAGTATATCCACAGCCAGTTTTTTATAATACTGTTGATATAATGAAATAAAAATTCATTCAACTTCATAAAAGTGTTATAAATATTTTATTCTATCTGAGATAAAATTACAAAACAACAAAAACTTAATGCTACATACTTCAAAAGAAGAATAAATTGATGATTATGCAATATTGTCTATTTCAGATTCTATACCAGAGTAAACCAGTGCGGGATTCGAGACATCACTTAACCCATGAACCATCTGATGTATATAAACCCCAGGATGGTATATATGGCGAAATAGACATAACAGAGGTTAATCTTTCTGAAATGAATCCTGAAGAAATAAGGGTAAGGACCTTGAACATAAAATAGGCTAAATATAAAAAATATCTGTTACTATGTTAATATTGTTACATATTTAATTTTGTAACAAGTTGTTTTTTCTCACTCCAGGCAGAATTAAAAAGACTATACACACAATTAGAAGTGCTAAGAAACAAATCAATTTGCCAAAATAATCCACATATTTCTAAAAGGAGGGGAGGACGGAAAGTAGCTCATCGAAGATTTTCATTACAGGTAAATATAAAAGCAACATATAATACTATATGTACATACATGTTACTAATTATTAGTAAATTAAATGAAAAAATATATTAATAACATTTTATTTTTAATAGAAAAAAGGCAGCAGAGAAAAGGTAAGAATAAAAGACCAACTATTAACTTTAATACAGTACTTTAAAATATAGATATTAATACACAAAAACAGTTAAAGAAAACTAAATTACAGGCTTTACAGCAAAAGAAGAAAGCTTTAGAGAAACCACAAAACTCTGAAGTTGAACCAGGAGATCAAGAGGTTTCCCGAACACCTGAAGATTCTGTATGCAGTATGGAGGGTCCAAGTGCCATTTACAATGATGGTCCATCTACTTATAGTGAATTAGGTGGTTTTGGTACACCTGGCTCATCACGAAAAAATTAATTGAAGTGATTTATTGAATAGTGATTTGGTTGAACCAGCCGCAAAACAATATTATTTTTTAAGTGTGAACAATTAAGTGATGAGCTTTGTGTAGGTGATACCAATTTTAAGCTTAACAAAATTTAGAACTTAAAACTTGAGTCAGGAGAGTTATTTGTATCATTCTTGTTATTAAATGTGCTTGATTATAAAATATTTCAAAATGTGGGTCATTTACCATTGATTGTTAATTCCCTAATATTGTTAATATTACCTATTATATGACAAGATTAAAAGTAAACTTGTCTGATTACAGAAAATGTTATTATAATGTATTTGGTTAATTATTTATTGTAACTGCAAACATTTTCAAACAATTAGTAATTTTATTTATATTTCCTATTTCCAAAACATGTAAGAATGACTGTATGAGATTATCTATGAAAATAGTGATTTATTGAAAAATACACACTCTAAAATGTTGATAGTTCACAAAAACTTTCTGAGATTTCACTAGGAAAAGTAGCATTTCATCTGGGAAACACTGATTGAAAGAATGTAAGTTGTAAAAGATATGATTATACGTATCATATATATCTCATCATTATATAAAAACGACAATCAGTTTAACATTGGTGGCCGCTAACCATGAAAACTACAAGACCAGTTTACATACGTTGTTTTGCTAACTTGTCTGATTTGTACTGTGAAAGTTTTAAGGTATTGATCCTCTAGAGACTAGTAAAGTATGGACCACAAATGAAATCTAGCCAAAAAAAAAGTCATAATTGTAATCAGTCCTAAATACTTCAGGTTCATGTTTACTTTGTCTCCCATAAGTCCATTCTTCTCAGTCTCTGATAAATATCAATCTCATAGAAGGAGATAAATACATAAACAAATTAGGATAAAGTGAGCATGTTAATTTCTGGTGTCACCTTAGGAAAGATTATAGTAATTACTCCATGCCCAGTATGGACTTGAAGCAATGAGTAAGTATTATCATGCTTGACAACTAGAATGACTCATACCTTTTTTCTATATTATAAGACGCTTATTACAATGTATGCAAAAGTAATTGTGACTAATTAAAATTCAATCGAATTTTTACAATATTTTGTCAAATCACTTTTTCTTTTGGGTATTATCTAGTAGCCATAAAAATATGCATTTATTTGGATTATAGAAAGTTTGAACATTTAAGTCCCTTTTTTAGAAATAAATATTTTTTCACAAATATCACACTGTGCAGGGGTTTTGTTGTCAACACTCTATAGGGAGATGAATTACCAGTTAAACCTCCAATGAAGTCTTGTATGTGGTCCAAAATCAAGAACTGGAAAAGTGCTCTTAACTTAAGACTTGTTAGTTAGGATTAAGGGAAAGTTAAGTTTTTTTCAGGTTTTAATTTCACAATATTTGGAAACAATTGAAGAAATCGAAATAAAGATTTACAACAAACTACAGTGTTTGATTGAGCTGATATGTCATAATGTGTAATAGAGGATCCACATTTCAAGTAAATCAAAACTAGGAAGACCTCAAAACATTTTAGAGAAAGTGGAAGGAAAACAAGGGTAAGTTAAATTTATTCGCTTCTTGAAGGAAATACTCCTGATGAACTTGTATTAGCTGCAGAGATTTCTTTTAGAAGTTCAGAGGGAAAAATAGGCTGCAAGAATACTGTGAGATATGACAGATTTTGTTGAACAGGAAACGACACAGTAATATAAAAGAGAGCTTAGATTGGTTGAAAAAATAATAAAATTTTAATGCCAACAAATATAAAAATAAATTATATAAAGAGTATTGTGTCTGAAATGGTATATGGAAACGTTTGTAATGCACTGAATGAATTATTATCATAGAAATATTCAGATTTTTTTTTTTTGTCCTTCCCTTCTTCACCTTTTCGGCTATACGGTTTTTTTCGGGGTTAGAGGACAAGACGGGAGATTAATAATAGAGTTGATAAAAATCCTCTGGCACCAGAAGATGAACTCATAATTATTTTATCAGGTGTGCCGCTTGACCAACCCCAAAAAATATTATGTTTGTGCAGCAACAACGAAAATTTGAATAATATTCAGTTCAGAACAAAATTAGAGAATCTTCATCGATATGTAGTCAGTCTGTCTTCCCTAGTTAAAAATATTTTTAATGCCGTATAGTTAGTTTTGTATATATATATATATATATATATATATATACTTGTAATGAATTATCTTAATTTTACAATTTTCTTAGATTAAAAGTGCCACAAAAAAAGAAAGATAATACTGTTCACGGTAGAAATGCATCCAAGATAAAGAAGGAAGAAAAGATGAAGTCGAAACAGAAACATAAGAACAAACTAAATGAAAACTTATATCCTTATGTATATAAACAAGGACAGCCCGCTTTTCGTTTGAGAAAGAAAAGTAAAAACTAAAATATTATAATTATAATTACAAGACAATGATTTTATGCATTCTCAGAAATAATCCTATCTGCATAAGGGTATGTACTATCATACCCACTTAAACACCTTTGTATATTTTTTGAAAAATAGAACTTCTCAAATGTTTAAAATTGATATAGTTGTCGGATACCTTCCGTTTCAGAACTGTACAGAAAAACTCGACTATTTCAGATGTTGACATGCACCCGTACATTGGACGAAATATATTTGTCAGGAGCCGCAAAGTATAGTGGAAACTACCCAACTACTACACTGATGTTAAATATTCATTGAAGTCAATTTCCACTATAATCTATCAAGGTGTTTAAGTAGATTTACTATTACACATCCCTATGGATTGGTTATTCAATAGTTATTCAAGTACTGAAAATTCATATTCGAGACACATGGTCACGAGTTTACATATGATCATATGATACGAAACCAACAAACATTTGAAAGGCAATAATATATCTTTTTACTATTTCGAGTTTAAGTAGTTTCATAACAATCACGAAATCTGGGCCATTGAACTTAAAAATCGGTCCACCCTTTCTCTAAACAAAATCGTTACACACCTTTTAGCAAATCGACTTAACACATTTCATATAATAATTAGCCCGTGTTTTAAGTCTAAATTATTTCAATAAATTTAAGATCTCACCAAATAATTTTAGCCATTGAAATTGAAAATCGGTCAAAAAATCTATACATACAAGCTGACAATGCTTGCACATAACTTTCCTTTTTGCTTCGTCACAACCAACGAAATAGTATGATTATCATTACGTCCCTTCACTTATTTAGTATATTTTTGGTTTGGTTTAGTTATTTGTTTATAGTCCATCAGTTTCCATGATGTGAGTATTTTAAAAGCATAATTCATTTGTCTTTCTGAAAAAAATAAAAGATTAAGTAAACCAAAAAATAATTAAAAGAGCTCAGAAATAATCAATTTTTCGATTTTTTTTCCCCCATCACTCTTTGACTTCATCTTCATCATTGGCTACTACAATTTTCCAAATAAGAACTTTTTCATCATATTCTTTATCCTTTTCTTCATTTTCAATAGCCGCTTTGTAATTTAAAGATTCATCAGTATAATTTTTATTTATATCACTTATGGTAGTTGGATTAATGGAAGCTCTTCTCAAGGTATGAACATCAGAAGATTTATGGCCGTACCTATGACGATCAGCAGCCATTTGTTCTCTTTCCCTTTCCTTGGCCTTTTCGTAAATAATTTGAGTATCCGTTTTTCTTCTTCTTCTACCGTATCTATTAAAAATTCTTGGACGATTCAAAGGATCTTTAGGTATAGGATCTTTAATGTTATCTACAAAAACTGAAGAGATGTTATTAAGAAAATCATTTGGACTCATTTCATAAGGATTCATTTTTTCGTAGGTTTTCATCTTAATATACTGATAAATTTTTTCATCAAGACTAGCTCTCTGTGGATTTGATTCATGTCTTCTAGATTCCACAGTTGACGTTTTTCTGTCTGAGATACCACCTTTTGATGAACCTTTTCTGCCATATTTCCTACTGTATGCAGAGCTAACCTTCTTTTCATTACCCCTCTGGACGATTACTGTTCTAGCTTCATCTGTTCCCATTAATGATCTTGAATTTGGCTCATCCGACGCTTCTTGTAAATTTCTAGGTACTTTAAAAACAGAATGATTTACGATGACGTACTCACTGTCAGAATCAAGATCGGAATCGCTGAAAGAAGCTTGAGAAAAACAACGTGAAAACCAGCACTTAGAAGACTTATGACTTCGGTTGGATGCTTTATCAGACTGGTTACTACTGCCTTCAGAGTCCATGCTTAATCATAAATGTTCATTTCAGAATAAAGCCTAATAAACGACTCCATCCTTTTCAGATATCTCAAACAAAATGAAACTCCAATAAAATCAATTATATTTTATATTTCGTTATCTTTCGAAAACCTTTGATTTATCATTTTTATTTCTACGGCAATATTAATAATTATATCACATAACCTAAATTAATGACAACAGCTGTACAAAGTTCAATACTCAAGAAGTCTCCAATGTATAAATCTGTGGCCTATAACTTGGCATAAATTGCAGTTTTAACTTAAGTTAAAGCATTCCTGAAAGCAGACATCACAGAAGTTTACTGTTTAACACTTACCCTCAACGAATCAATTAACAGGTCAAAAAAGTAAGAGTTGGATTGTCATCTTTAAGAAGTGATTGGTTTTTGAGCTAAGAAGAAAATATGTTGTTTAACTCTCTGTTATCCGACTAAGAGGGAAAAAAAAATCTTTTCCGGTAAGTAATAAGGAATGAGAGAGTCCAAATCAATTTAAAGGGTCTACTACAAAATATGAGTAAATGCCAGCCAATTCTGAAGACATAGAAATAGGCTCTGATATCATTCAGGTGGCCTTTTGGACAAATATTTTTTTTTTCTGTAAGCGGATATTGTTCCCTCAGTTTTCTTAATACTTCGCCTCCCCTACTCACGAGCAACTACACACCTAAATACCAAGTTTACCAAGCTGCATTTTTTTTTTCTAATTAATAAATGGCCGTTGCAGCTGTTTTTGACTACCGTAAACAAAATATGCATTCTAGTAGTGCTGGCTTTAAACATATGGCGTCCCCGGACAATGACGTCATTTCTCCCTCCAAAGAAATTAATTTATTTCTTAAACTGTTTTATATTATGTAATATTTCAATTTCATGTCATCCACATTTCTATAATACAGTTGCTTCATTTATAGGCCAAATCAATTATTTTCATACGTTTAGTATATATTTCTTTAAAATTGTTAACAAGTATAGAGAGCCCTTGATGATCGGCTCCCTACGCTTTTATAAGTCGGCGCTCCCTTCAGGCCGGTACTGCATTGTTGTAAGTTATTATACTATCGCTGAACGATTTTTAAACTTGTTTCTCAAGAATTTGATTTTCGAAATAATATGTTTACCTAAACTTAGCCATGTATGAAATACACCACATAGTAAAACAAAGTATTGGATTCGTGAAAATGATTGAATCCTAGTTTTCAACCGAAAAATAGATTTTGAGGTCCCCTGAATCCAATTAATCAAGTTTCGCAAATGATCTCTGTGTGGGTGAGAGAACATCATAACTCAAAAATAGAAAGTTGTACGAAACCGAAATTACGTATTTAAGGTATGTATATGCCTTAGATATTATAATTTGTTTCACTAAAACCGGCTAACCGGAAGTGACTTTTTATACCGTCGATTTCATAGGCACACACTTCAAGGGAGAGGCGATCGCTTCCTCCCTCCCCCCAATATTAATAGAGAGGAGGTGGGAATATCATTTCACCCTCACCCCTCCCCCAATATTTCTAAGAACAAAAGTAAAACCCAAAACAATGAATCTACATATATATTTTTAACAAAGAAGGCTCAGCAAGTCTTCCGGAAAATCTTCAAGAAAGGATTGCGGCAGCAGGGGTGCCCAGAAGGGGGTTTCATGGCGCAAGTTGCGTCATCAAACCTTATGAGGGCTGCACTTTTTGCTGGTGTTTTCAGTTTTTGAAAGGGGTGCATTTCGACTGGGTTATGAATTTTCAAAATGAAAAGTTTCAAATTAAAAGACAAGTGGAAGCATGGAACAGACCGCAGTGGGTGAAATTTTTTATAATATACGGATATTTAAATACTACTTTTGTTTGCACTGTTTTAAGAAAAAGGGAGGAATAAAATATCTTGGGAGAGGGGTGGGAAAAGGGTTTTGCGCCATCGGCCTTGCGTAATGGGCATTCCATCTAAATGGAAAAATATAATAAGCTACACCATTAAACAGTGGAATAGACGGTGAGTAACTACATCTTACGTTAAGAAAATACTTTCTTACCGTCTATTCAAGGTTGGAAGTGAAATGGGTTCTCTCGGATTATTGAGTGTCACAATTCCTAACAGCGCTTAGAGGGTTTCCGTCCAACTTAATTTCTTGGGAAGGAAATTAACCCTCTATATCCCTGTTGTTGTGTTTCAGAAACTGATTAGCATCCTGTCGCGACCTCCACTCAAAGCATCAACAAGGGTCAAACTACTGAGGGAAACTATACTCTATATTATCACGGAGGACGATATCCCTTAGCTAGTATGCAAGGAAAACTACGTAACCTTCGTGTACAGTTGGAAAGAATTTGTGGGAGGTGGTCATTTAAACCGCATGCAATAAATTAGAAGAGCGAACAACTAGAGGATAAGTGGTAGAAGTAGCGGTATACTTCTACCAAAAATCCATGTTGCTGAGAGGCAAGGAAGGATGAAATTTGTGAACAATTCGCGATTATTCCTCATTTCTTTTTTTTTTTTTTCTCCTCTCCCTCACCTTTTAGACTATACGGGATTTTCCCAAGCCATAGGGTGAGGTGGTAGATTAAAAGACCCTACAGCACCGGAACTCGTAATTATTTTTTCATTTATAACTTCAGTTATCAGGTTCCAGGGCAATGGGTGGTACTGTGAAAACGCGTAAAGGTACTATTTCGCTGGCGCGGTCCACGACCGCGACTGCTCGCGGTTGACCACTGCTTTAGTGGAATAGAAAGGAACCTATTTCGCTGGCGCTGCTCGGCAGTCTAGGTATGACGTCATATCTAAGCTGCTCGTACTGACTCCTCTTGAAGCAGTGGAGCTGTTGGCGGTTCGGCGGTTGTAGGTTATGTTATCATATCAGAGCATTGTTTTGATGATAACAGTCACGTCGATACACTTTATTTCCTATGTTTCTTTCAAGTCTGGCAAAATTATAAAAAATATCGTTTAAAACTGAAACAATGCAATAGTAAATTATTTTTTTATGGGTGAAGTAACAAGATTATTTATTTATTTATTCCACCAGCAATGTTTTACAACGAAATACAAATATACCTAAATCCAAACGATATTAAATGAAATAAAGAATCCAACAAATTTTATTGTCAGATAAATACTAAAATCCACATATTGAAAAATCGATTTGTATTTTTTAATTAAAGTGGTGATTTACTGATACATAATATAATAATAAAAATGAACATCCTGTAATAATAAACATCTCTGACTACCGCTTTTTTATTTGAGTGGAAAAAGAAGAGAAAATGTTGTTCATAAAGAGAAGGAATATCAGTATTTCGATGTGATGCTCATCATCAAAGTTCCTCTGATATTAGATATTATTAGTTTAAAAAGTAATAGTAATTAATACATAATTGATTAGTAATAAATATCATATATTTGTAATTAAATCCCAGCAGGCGATGTTTTATAGTTTTATCAATATTAAGCAGTAAATCACCACTTTAATTAAAAAATACAAATCGATTTTTCAATAAGTGGATTTTAGTATTTACCTGACGATAAAATTTGTTGGATTCTTTAATTCATTTAATATCGTTTGAATTTAGGTATATTTGTATTTCGCTGTAAAATATTGCTGGTGGAATAAATAAATAAATCGTCTTGTTACTTCAAACTTAAAAAAATAATTTACTATTGCATTGTTTCAGTTTTAAACGATATAAGGACGCTGGGTCGCCCCACCCCCTCTTTTCCCACATTCTGTACTTTCTCTCTATTTTCTTAAGGGCATATGTTTTCTGTAGAATTTTTCTTTCCGTTTTTAACAACCCCTCCATATTTTTAACCCTATTGTTTCCGCACCACACAATATCACCGATTTGCCGCCAAAATAAATTATTTTTATTGTAAATGTATTTTGTCGTGAATCTTGATCTATCTTATTTTTCTTCCCTAATTCTCATCAATTGCCTATCCCCTCCATTGTTACATACCCATTCCCTTAAATACTTGTTTCACTGTTATTATTTTCCCATGTTTTGTTTTCCCCATTTTTCTTATAGTTTTTTCATTCATCATTATTTCGATCTTAGTTAATGCTATTTTTAACTCCGTTTTCCTTGCTATTTCCTATAATTTATCTATATGCCTTATTGTTTCTTGTCCACTTTCTGCAATAAGAGCCATTACGCCAAACATCTGACCTCTACCCCATTCTCACCACTTAATGACACCTGTTTTGTTTTTTTTGAGACCACCTTTTGAAATATAATTTAATTACACATATTCCAAAAAAAAAAAAAAAAATTCTTAGGTAAGCCAATAACCGCTTTATTGACAACAGTTTGAGATATGAAAATTCATTAGTTCATCTTCTATTTGTTGGTTTTAAATTACAGAACAGGAATTAAAAAAAAAAAAGAAATAAAAAGCTCACATAAAAAGCTTAAACACTATTGCGGGCAGTTATCAACTGAGCATAAAGAGTGAACAACACAAAAAGGTTTCTTGGACATTATTACCACTTACTTACTGGGTGGTATGAAGGGTTCAACTTACCTTTTCATCACTATGTTGGGACTAAGTGCAGCAACGAGTATAGATAAAAATAAAGCAGTTCACAGAGATGCTTGACCTTAAAATCAATATTTTATTATGTACTAAAATTTCAGTTTTAAAACTTTTTCATTAAAATTAATAAAGTACAACTATGTATTGTCATATAATATACTATTGGAAATTAAATCACTAAAATATAACAACCGTGTGGTTTAATCTGTACCACAGAAATCTAAACCACTTGAGGGTTTTTTTTATTTTTGGAGAGATTATACCTTAACTACTATGACCCACCCAAAGTAGCATAAAACTATATTATTTCTACTATTAATCATTAACTTCATAATAAAATCAACTAAAATAATCAATATAACACAAAGCTTTTACAAAATTGTTTTAATTATCAGAATGCATTTAACAAATTATATTTACATTGGTTGTATAAATGCTTCATAAATGTATTCGCATCATACAGAAACATTACAGCAAACATTTTATAAATATTTACTCATACAATAATTATAAGTTAAAAAAAAATTATAAGCTTGAAAAAGAAGAACCGTGTCTTCATATGTAAATAAGAACAAAGATTGAAGTCCCTCATTTCAGTAAAATTTTCCACCTCGAAGAGCTAACACCAAATGAAGAACCGAACCACCTTGGACTTTGTAATCTTGAGCTGTTTTTTCATCATTCCTGTACACAGAAAAATTAACAAGTGCTAATTTCATATTAATTAATTAATTGATAGATTGTTTATCATACATATCTAGTAGATTATAACACTTTAAAAAAGTTTATTTTCTTTGAGAATACCTGAAATTGTAAACAATAATGAACTAATGGAAACTGAAAGCATCTCTTGACATTACAATGAAACGATCAAGTATATAGATAAAACACAGAACTTTTTTTTTTACTTAAAATTTAAATTTGCATCTATAAGCAATCAGCAGATGAGCGAAAATGTATTATACATGGCATGAATAGGTCTACTGAGTTAAAACATAGGACATGATTTGAATTTTTTTATAACAAGAGTGGAGTGGGGGTACTAGTTCACATGAGTTCAGCAGGGATTACGCGTGGTTCACAATCACTTCGGTCACACTGCTTCATGAAGTGGCGAATTTGTCTGGATTTATCCGAAAGAGAACAAAGGCCACTGTCAGTATTTGTTCAAGTTTTATTATTTTCTGACTATTCAGCTTTAATAAAAGACCAACCATGAGGAAATTAAGCGAAGTGCTGATTCTCAGTGACCAAAAAACTAACTAATGTGAAAGTCGTCAATCCGCCATCTTTGGGCGTTTGAGCGTTCACATTTTTTTGTGGAAACATTGGCTTTTTTTTAATAAATAGTTATAAGGATCACAACAATATGCAATTTATAGGGATGTAGGGAGGGAGGTGCAGATAGAAGGGGTCTGGCCCACCGTGTATACAATGTTCACATTGATATTAAGGAATGATTGTCCAGAATGTATTATCTAGAACTGCTTATCAAAGTTCCCATTGTTGATCAGTTATTAGAATACGAACACCATCATTTGGACTTAATGCACAACCAAAAAATGATAATTTTAATGAAGAATCGTGATTAAAAAAACACATTAATAAATAAATGAATAAATCTTGGGTATCAGGTAGTTAATATCATTTGCTACTTCGATTACCGAAATTTCTTCACCTTTAGTAAGTTTCATAGCATTTTGAGGTGCTTGATTGTGTACTAACTGCTGGAACAAAACATCCAATTCTTAAAAACTGTATTATTATTGAAGTCATATATTAGACATCAAATTATCCCCTCTCGAAAATACGTCTTTAGAACTAAATTATCAACTTAACTTCAGCTGAATACTATATTACCTGAATAAATTTGCACCAGATTATCATTATGTAAAATTAATTATTAAAACACCAAATTTATACCATTCTTTGAACAAAATTTTTGATCAAGAACCTCCCTCTCCTCTCCTCCCCAGTCCCCCTTTACCAATGTTAAAATCTGGTCACTTTAGTCTAGTAGCAAGAGGAGGCATTAACCTTCTACCATTATTCTACATAAAGGGGTCAGGGAAAAACAGTAAAACTTCATTTCTTTAAATTTTTACACCACCTTGTAGACCAGATAAACCCTAATTGTATGGTGTAAACGTTTCTGAAAAAAAAAAAAAAAAAAAAAAAAAAAAAAAAAAAACCGGTCCAACTATCTTGTTTTAGAATAAAAAAGAATGGGCAGTCAGAAGAAAAATTCAATTCTAGGAAATGTATCCATCCATTTTAACCCCATTTTCTCTGAACATAAACAAACGCAATCACTTTTAGTTAAAACACTTTTTATGGTTAATTTTTTATTCTTAAAGTATTGTAACCTATCAAGGAAAAATATCTACTAGGAGGTAGAGTTAATGAATTCCACAAAATAATTTACGAGTCTAAAATATAACAAATGACACATATTACACTCATTTTTTTTTATAAATACGATCAAACTATGGAAAAAAAAAAAAAAAGACTTGATGATGTGTTCTCAATGCCATATCATTTTGTTCATAGAAAATGTGCATAATTTAGACTTTTTTCTTGACTCCTGTCCCAGTCAAAGTAAAAACTACATCCTTCTTGATTTAAATTACCTGTTACCACATAAAAACAGATTTTATTTGGCGATGATCACATTTCCCATTAGGGGTGTGGAATATGAAATGGGCTAGGAAAGTAGGATAATGTTGCTACTTTAATTTGGAACCGTAAGTTAAATTTCAGGACGATTGGCAAAAACTGTATCACAGTAAAAACAAATTCATTTCAAGTAATCAAATATTTTAAGGTTCATTTCCTAACCATCCTTACAGTTATTATGAACAAAAATCTCCTTTCCCAATTCAACCAATCCGGGTAATTGACGTCAATAAAACATATCCAATAATGATTCAATAAACAATTTCAGAAATCATCCGAAAAAAAATAAATAAAAAAATGGCATTGTAACTCTTTATCCGTTGTATACAGCACTTTAAAGCCAACTAAAATAAAGATCTGAAACAGTTTTTGACTTATGCATCACAGCAGTTTTATGAAAATTTAAAGGTCAGTGATGATGAAACCTATAAATGTGGACAATATCACAAAAGATGAGAATGATATTTGCGTAATTGTTGAATTTTGTGTGAAAAATGTATATCCTGTTTTTATTACTTTCAACTTCAAAAAAACAAAATAAAAGTGTAACATTTTGTAGTAATTATATCTATTTCTAAGCTATTACAACGATAATTATTCTTTCTGCCTGTTTATTATTCATTTTACTTTAATTAGAACTTGAACAATAAATGTGAAATGTTTTTTAGCACTCAAAAAAATATTGAAAAGTGAAGTTTTACTTTTTATTCCCTAACCCTTTCATAAGAAATCACCAGCACCCTTGTCCTCCAAATTTCCCATTTACACGAATTTCGGTACATTAGTTACACTCAATAAATACATTACAAATCAATTGACAGCATGACTGTCACTCAATCAATGCAGTAGTGATTTCTTCTTATGGAGAGGGAGGGAGAAAATCAAATGAGAACATTTGATCATATAGAATGATAAGTAATGTGGTTACTTATAATATACTGATTACTTATGATATAGCCTTTCACTCATTAAAGAATAAAACAGAAATAAATGAAATTATTCATAGGCATAGTTTTATTTATTATTCTCACTAATTTTTTTTATTAAATTTAAGCCACTTTCTGTCTATTTATATAACTTTTCTGAACTGGATTTAATTTTATTTGTTCATAACAAATGATAAGTAATGTGATAAGTAATAATCTTTAACTCATATATAAAAAAATAAAATAAAAAGTATGAAATTAAACACAATATTTATCAGTTTGGCATACTCCAGCTATCATCACTCACTATAATTTCATAGATTTTGTGTAAACTGGATTAATCTTTCACTCATAACTTATGCCCTATGAGCAGATCGTTATGAATTCTGGAATTATTAAGTACTACTTTATTTAATATAAGGAATTATTAAGTACTACTTTATTTAATATAAGGAATAATTATTCTAAACATGAAAAAACTTAAGAAATAGACCGATCAAAGATCGGGCATATGCACAGGATAGTTCATGTTGTTAATAAGTGAAATTGCAGTTGCAAAAGGTTCTGTACAATATATATATATGTATATATACCTCAACTATTAGTTTTACAGCAGTAAGTTTCTTAGGACAAGAAACTTTTATATATTTAGGATTATTCCTGTTGATTTGAAACATATCACTAGCCTGCAAAAAAAAACTGGAACAACTCAAAAACTAGCTTTTATAAGATTGGTGTTTGGGGTTATGTAAATAAATATAGAACAAAGATGACAAAACTAAAAAATGAACTATTTCCCAATTTCTGTGTAATCGTAATAAACAAGAAGACTATTGCTATTTAAAGATTTAATGCTAGAGTTACGCGGCTCTTATTCTAAGCTTAAAATATTGTATAATTATATATTTAGTGTTTATAAAATAATTGACCTTAATAATTAAATTATTAATGACTTACATTTGTTTGCCAGAAAAAATGAGCCTTTGTTGTTGAGGTGGAATACCTTCTTTTTCTTCTACTCTTTCCTTAATTCTTTCAACCTTATCTGTTGGTTCTATATCTATTTCAATCTAAGAAAGATTAGAAAAATGGATTATCACATGAAGGTCCAAGGTTTCAAATAAAAAACAAAAATTAAACAAGTAACTTACTTCCTTGCCGGTAAGAGTCTGAAAACCAGAATATCAAAATGGTATTAATTTAAAGATAAAACTAAAAACATTACGTTTCGAGTGAAATATGGAAAATTAGGAAACCTACCTTAACTTTGATAAGCATGGTAAATTTTAATAAACAACGTCTTCCACTGAATGTAATACGTTATATCAGGTTAACAATTTGTCATGTTAGGAAGGTTACCATTGTAGCCTTGGTAAGTTCCTAAACTCAGTGTTGAGCACATCAATGGCATCAGATTCACTTCAAAACTCAGTGAAACGATGTCATTGATGAGATCAGCGCTGAGTTTAGGAACTTGCCAACGTACCGATAAAAAAAAAAATACTAAAAACTTAAATAAAACTATTTCTCTAACTCAAAGTTAAAATAAAAAAATATATTCTTTTAAACACATTTTTTGGAAGGGGAGTTCCCACTCAAAAAAAAAAAAAAAAAAATGAATCTAAAAAAATTATCACCCGCCTACCCAAACATATTGTCATTTTATCTTTTTAAAAAATTCGGAGGGGGGGTTAACTCCTCCCTCAAAAAAATAAAGATGAAGTATCATCCACCTACCCAAATATATTGTCATTTTATCTTTAAAAAAATTCGGAGGGAGGTTAACCTCCCTCCCAAAAAATAATTATATTAAAAGTAAAACTAAGTATCACCCACCTATCCAAACATATTGCTATTTTACCTTTATTAAACAAAATTCGGAGGTGGGGGAAAAGGAGGGAGTGGCTAACTCCCCTTACAAAAAAAATATATATTAAAACAAAGTATCTCCTATTATCCCCTATTAAACATATTGCCAAGAGAGGCACCAGAAATTTGGTATCGCCCAGTGATTTTCAAGATCCTTATGTATGGTTTAATATTGTTCAATGTACTCCTTACTAATAAAAATGAAAGAAATTTGATTTCAACCAATTTGATTGACGTCAATATAATTGATGTCAATGTAGCCCTTACAGGTTCAATATATTGACGAAACTCAATATTGACCGAGTAAGGGGCCCTTTAGTTTTTCTTAATTTGTGTAATATAAAATATTTGTAATATGTAATATAATATTATAGGGATGAAAAAAAAAATCAGGATTTGCAGTAAAAATGTGTTAATTTTTAAATTAATTAAAAAATGAAATTTTATACTTGTTTATTTAAAGAAATTTTGACTGCAAGTTCTGACAATTATATTCATCTTTGCAATGTTATCATAATATCGTTATATCATTTAAAGAAATAATCGCGATTTCTACAAACAAAATTAAACAAAAATTGTGCTACAATGTTGTTTTGTTTCTCTAGATAAGTGTAGATCTCCGTTGTTTCTGTTTACGTAATATATTTGTAGATTGTTTTATATGACTTTGAATTAAAGAACTTAAAAATAATCTTAATATCGATTTCGTTCTTTTTGCTTCCTTCTAATTTCCAAAATTCTAGCCTGTAATTTTCATAGCATTTTATTCTAGATTTCTAGTCATATTTATTAATTTATCTACTTGAAATTATCTTCAATCCAACGTCAAAAACACATTTAATTTTTGCCGACGTTTCGACCCACTTTGTAGGTCTTCATCAGGGCTACAAAAGATACATGGTGAAAATAAATGAATACCAGTAGATATCAAATAAGAATAAGTTGTCTGACACAGAACTAAAAGATGATATCTCTGATATGCATCACCATCTTTTGTAGCCCTGATGAAGACCTACAAAGTGGGTCGAAACATCGGCAAAAATTAAATAATTCTACTTATTTAATTTAGTATTAATTTGACCGCCCCCCCCCCCTCCCCCTGATCAACTCCTTCTCACATTATATTTATAACTACGTTTTATACATAAACAGCAACAAACAAACATATTCAATTAGATTAATATTTAATTAAGCATTACTTGTTATTTGCATCAGCAATTGCTATATTCCTTTCTGTTATTGTAATAGAAATAGATGCTTTCAATTCTTGGTACTAAGTAATCGTAATTACTTAACATAGGTCTAAAATCCTAACCGTTTTTTTTTTTTTAATTTTGCATTTCCATTGAGTCTATATGATACCACCTTTTTTAGTATTGTTTGTCCATATAGGAACTTGTTACTTATTAAAATTTCTTAATTGTAGCAATAAAATTAATATGACATTACATTCAACTAGGGAATTGCAATTGTTAATCTTTACACCATACAGTGGTTCATGGTAATTGCTATAAAAATTATTTATGATTTTAATTTTGGTTTCATATAAATAAAATCAATTTTTAATCCATTGCTTGTAATTCCCATTTTTTTATTACTGATATATATTTCTTTGATTTATTGTAATATTTCCCTATATTGGTCATTTTGTACTTATCATCATTTTGTGTGTCGGGCCTATATCATAATCTTTCGTACTTATTCATTACTTTCATTATCATAAACTAAGCTTTTGTTAATTCATCTAATTACATTGTATTATTCATATCTAATTATCCCATTTCATGTTCCTTCTTCATCTAACAGTACTCTTCATTATTTATTTCTGGTTTATATTTGAATTGAAATACTTTATAAAACCAATTATGTTAAGCTCCACTTTTGGTAAAATTATTTCAGCCAACAATTTGCCCTAACATCACTGCCATACTCCTATCTACCTTAATAAATAAGTATAATCACCGAACTTTTCATTTTTTACCTAGATTTTGTATTTATACAGATAAACCATTAAGCAAAAAGTTTTTCTTACAGAGGGGAGGACTTACAGAACCCTAAAACGTGTTTTTTTGATTGGAAACTCAGATTTGAAATTTTTCATGATCCCAATACTTTGCATTACATTAAAATAAAAAAAAAAAAGATATCTCAACGTAAAAAGTGTATCATATAATTATAACATCAACAAGTTTCATGTAACCATTTCCATTTTCACATGTTATTTACGGTCAAAATAAAACAAATGAAAATTAAAAAGGTTACCGACAAACTTTATTTATTTTTTAATCTATGCTTGTTCTACATTTAGAGATTTAAAAACAGCTATTCATTATGTTTTTTAAATGATCAGTTTCTTTTTGAGTGACCATATTCGTATGTCAACTAATTTTACATTTCACAAACATAAGTGTTAAACTCTGTCTGTTTTTTTTTTTTTTTTTTTTCATATCTTCAGCTCAAATAAAACTCAACAACTCACAAAATTACTAACCTAAACTCTAATAAAGTTACATTAATAACATTTTAACCAAATATTGAAACATCACAATACAATACTATATTTGTAATTAAGTGACTGTATCATGATTAGAGACTAACATCATACAGTGTCATTTTTGATGCTTACTTCAATAAATAATCAGCCATTACTTTCTGATTAAGTATAACGCCATACATCACTATTGTTAGTGGTAATTTGCTAATGTTTTTGGGTTCTTACATTGTATCCTTTTGGAGATGTTTGCAAAACCTAAGCTTTAAAAAATTGTATTTGTATAAAACATTGCCTGATTAAAAGAACAATCAAGTCTTAAGTGTGAAAATTTTAACCACATAGTGTTTTGTTATTCACGTTTTTAATTTCAGAAACTTAACATTTGTCTATCATTTTGGTTATTTACACATAAGTTGTAATATGTATGTTTGAAGAACAATGATGGAAGATGTTATTTATACTATATACAACCCATATATTTACAAAATCTAATAAATTATATACATAAAATAAAATTTAATAATTATAATTTTTATAGAAAATTAATCTTTATAACATAACATTGTTATTATTATTATTATACAAAATAAAAATTCTATTTATATACAAATAAATATTTTTAGGTTAAAATATACAATACAAAATGCTCAACATAATATAAATACAAAATTTAAATTAATTGTTACAACATAAAAAATAAACAAATTAATTAATACAAAATATGCTATTGTTTACACAATATTATGAATAAAGTAATATAACATTACAAATAAAGTATTTTTAAATGCATCAGGAAAAGCTACAAAATTACTTATGATTATTTTATTAATTTCATTGATTATTCTTCATATTCTTCAGATGCCTTTAAAAAGGCTTTATTAATAATATCTCTTTTTGTAGGTACAACCTTACTAGTATCTACAGTAAAAACGTCGCTGGGAAATCACTCTTTTTGGTGCACTCGCAATAACCGGGAAATAGGCTGTCATTTTGTTCAAACTAGTATTGGTTTCAACGTTAGAAATATTTTTATTCCACAAAGCCAACACACATCTTCCCCAAGCTTCATCCATTTCATATGTGCACAAACTTCGTTCTGGTTGAGGTAATTGGTCCAACCTTTCTCCTAACATGGACCCATAATTCTGTGCGAATGTTTTAGGTTTATTTGTATTTCTGCACTGTTTTTCTAATACTTGAACAAGTTTATTGAACAGTGCCACAATTTTCTCTTCACCTTCGTTTGATTTTTTTTTTTGTCTTGGCTAGAATACATACCATTGTTCGCTAAAGGTGAATCATCGATTACTTCAGCTTCCCCTTCATCTTCACACTCAACTGTAGGGGAACGCTGAAAAAAAACAAAAAAAAAACAAAACAATTTTAGTAGTTAACCAATAAATAAACTGGTATCATCCAATCAAAAAGTAAACTAAAAAATCAGATTTTTTAATTTCGTTATAATCTTTTTCTCTTAAATCGGTTGATTATTTAACAAAGGAAGCAACGAAAAGACAGGTGGACAAATATCACATACCTTTTTCAGACATCATAAGTGAATTAAAAATTTCTATGATGATCGAACATAGGTAAGAAAAATGAAATAATTACATTTTGCAATGAATTATCATTGATTTCATATTAATTGAACCTTAAGTAATATTACTGACAATTTGTGTTAACATTTCATTTTAAAAAACTAGTTATTCTATTTAATATGGCTAGTTTGTGTACCTATCGAGATGAACTGATTGAAGAATATTAATTGTACGATAGTTAATCCTTTTTATTTTTTTTTCAGTAAATTGGTATATTTATTAAAAATTTGTAGCTTCCATTACAAACGTAGGTTGTGGTTTCAGTTCATACTTTTATAAGGATTAGAATTTTTCCTCGTGTCAATACTTAAACTTTTTTAAACAAATCAGTTTTCAAACTGTACAATCATTAATTAATTTATTTGTAACATTATAAATATCTTGAATTTGAAATTATAATTAAAAATAAGATTCAAAGAAAGGTTGCCTTCTATGTACAAATTTTTGTCTTTTGCAAGGTCCAGATTTTTATGCAATGGCATATTTTGTTTCCATGCAGTTCTTAAATGGCTGAGGGAATATCTTTTCTTATTAGTGTGCTCAGTAACTAATAATCAAATGTTATATTGCATAGTTGAGGATAAATGCTTACAGTTTTATATTTTATTGTTTCAATTAAGTACGAAAAAAATAATAAGATATTGGAAATTAAAATTCTGAATTTCAGATTAAATTCCAGATTCCAAACCTAAGTTTATTTTTGAACTTCAAACTTTTCCTTTCTTAAGTACAACCACTTTTAACTATTTGTACCACGGAGGACCATGTCCATTTTTGTATTTGTTCAATATATTCCATAACTTAGAGCTATTAAGATGTGTTCCTTTGTTACTAAATGTGTACCCTGGAGGTAAAAGACACCATGCCACTTTTTTGTATTTCTCCAGAAAGCCAATTTTCAATAGCATTGAGCTATTAAAATTTGATTGATTGTTACTAATTTATTCCATATAAAAATGGACTTGGTGTTCTTAACCTTCTGGGTACAGATATAGTAGTTTCAATTTAATTTTTTTCTGAAGATGAAACTTTTATTGTTAAAAACTAATTTCTGGTGAAAACTTCAAGTCAATAATTTTAACTTTACATAAATTTTGCCACATCATATCTTTTGTTGTACAACAGTAATTTTCTTATTACTAGTAGGCCATTGAAAAATTTGCACAGCATATTTTTAAGTGATCGAATGCCAAATTATTAAGAAAATAAAATAATACAATGTATTAAAAGATAAAGAAATCAATTGTTACTTTATCGATAAATATAATTGACAAAATTTAATTTAAAACTTCATTAATGTTTGGAACCAACATGTTTACAATTTTTAATAAGCTGTATCTTTGCTAAAAATTGTCCGATTTCGATGATTTTTTTTAACCTTTTATAGGGAATTTAGTAATCTTTTGTATAACCATGGATATAAGTGGAAAGTGTGCCATGTTTTAGTTATTCACAAATAAAGTTTCTTTTCTTTCATAACTTGTTTGCCTGAATTTTTGGGGTGATTGGACTATTTTGCCCGCCTGAAGGAGAAGGAAGCCTTCAAAATTGGTGGCTCAATCTTTATATTTGGTGAAGAATTAACGAGATATGGCTTGCTGATCAAGGGTGACAGGAGCTAATATATATGGGGATGTAATGATAGGGTTAGGGATAGCAATGTTCTGTGGACTGCCTTGCCGTAGGAACGCTGTTTGACAATTATTTGATTTTTTCCCTCTGCTATTTAGCCCTAGTGGATCCAGCCTGAGAGCACGCCCCCTCCTCTGGAGGCTAGAAAAAAAAATCCAAAAAAGTTTCAAAAAGCAGTTATTTAAAGAAAATTGCAATATAGGAAAAATTCATCCTCATAGACGAAATAAAAAAATATATTATCGTGACCAACACTAGCGAATTCTGCCAAGGGGCGCGCCCTCCCTTACATTGTGGAAAAATTCAGAAAAAGTAACAGAAAACGCCTAGTTAAAGAAAAGAGAAATGTAGGGAAAATTCATCCTCATACACGAATTTCCGAATGAAATAAAAAAAAATTATTATCATGACCAGTACTAGCGAATTCTGCCAAGGGTCGCACCCTCCCTTGGATGACGGAAAAAAACACCTATTTAAAGAAAAGATGTATATTCATTGATAATAACTTTTTTGTCTACTACATTAGAAAATCCGTCTATGAGGATGAATTTTTCCTGTATTTTTCTTTTCTTTAAATAGGTGTTTTTGGGATTTTTTTTTTCCACCAACCATGGGAGGGCGAACCCCTGGCAGAATTCGCAAGTGCTAGTCACGATAATAATTTTTTTTTATTTCATTAAGAAATTCGTGTCTGAGGATGAATTTTCCCTTTTATTCAAAAAATTTATAATTGCAGAAGTAAAATTATCAATAATTGTAATTTAAATTAAAATAAAGAAGTTTTAATTGGTAACTGCAATCAATAACGCCCAAACATCACTGAAAAAGGTAATTAAAAATGGAATATTAATCAATGGCAAAAGGGAAGTATATCTGTTAGGAATATACTTGATATGAATTAGTGGATGGTATACATTGTAAACTTCCCAACTCTTGTCAGTCTATAAAAACCACGAAACTCTATGATATTTACAAAGAGATAATAGAAAGTATGCGGACATCTTTAATCTATAAATAATTGATAGTCCGTAGACCCCTAGTTCAGACCCCCTTTTTATCAAACTATTAATATTTGTCTAAAACTTCATTAATGGATTCACCTTATTTTGATTTAACTTTTTGATCTACGAAAATTCTCATAAACGACGTGTTTTTTCATTATGGACGTGTTTCGCCCTCCCATGGATGGTGAAAAAAAAATTCCAAAAAACACCTGTTTAAAGAAAAAAAAAATAGGAAAAATTCATCCTCATAGACGAATTTTCTAATGTAATGGGAAAAAAAGTTACTATCGTGACCAGCACCAGTGATTTCTGCCAGGGAAATATAATTTCGAAAAAAAAAAAAATCCAGAAAAACAACTATTTAAAGAAAAGAATGATGTTTTTGGACATTTAGTTTTTGGACCACCGTGAGATGCGAAGCGTTGTGCTCCTTTCGCTGTTTGTTCCTATTGACTCCGAACTGAGTCTCACAGGGGAATGTATGAAAGGAAAATTTATTAAAAAAACAACTTCAATTATTTTTTCGAACCACCTATTATTCGAGCACAAGAAAATGCGGTTTTATTCTTTTTTTTCTGACTCAGTTTTTATTTACTTTCAATTGGTCTGGAAGCGTCCACAAAACATTTGACGTGTTTAAAACCAATAAATATAGATAAACTCCTCAAAGGTTTTTGTTTTATATTTGTAGTTCTATTATATTTACAGGGGTCTGGTTTGTGTCATTTCATGTAGCTTATGTAGTGCTAACTTAACATAAATGTTCGTGATCATACGTGGAGTCATTTTTATGTTACCCCACTTTTTGTGATTTTCGAAAGAAAATCGATGGGAGGAGGCTTGGTTCCGATTTGGTGCAAAAAAAAAAAATTATTTTTTGATTTCTATGAAAATTTGTATTTGAGGCTTTATAAAGGTGCGAAATACAAATCTCAACTCTGTTTTCTCTTAAGAAAATATTTGAACCCACTTTTCTCCTTCGTTCAGTACAAATTGTTTCAACGTCGTACTCATACTATAGCTATATGTTAAATATCCTATATATTATTTCAAAAAGGTGTTTTTTTGTCGGTACACCATAACTTCGTCAATTTTTCATCAAATCCAATGATTGACCACTCATTTTGAAGACCTCTCCTTCACACGCGAAAAATAGTCCAATCTCCCCGAAATTTCTGTAAAAAAAAGTTATGGAGGAAAAGAAACTTTATTTGCGAATAACTTAAAAAGTATGTTTAATGGAATATTGTAATCGACCAAGGAAAAAATATTAATTCTTTCCTTACATAATAAAAAGGAACTACTTAATTCCATATTGTTTTGCTATTTCTTCACTAAACAAAATTCTCTGCCAATTTTTCTCACGGGCCAACTAGTATAGTTAATTTCAAATGAAATGTGCTATAATAGAGCTCTCCTAATGAATATTAATCGAAAATAAGAAAAAAATAAATAACGAAATGAAAAAAAATATTGGAAAAATTTCTAAACGATTTCGATGATTTTTTTTTCTATTGTAGGGAATTTAGTGATATTTTACACAATCATGGGCATAACGAAGGGAAAATTGTGTAATTTTTTATTTATTCGCAAATAAAGATTCTTTTGTTTCATAACTTGTTTGTCTGAATTTTCGGGATGATTGGACTATTTTGTCCGGAAGGAAGCCTTCAAAATTGCCAATCAAAAACACCATCGATAAATAATATAAACTCCTCCTCTCTCGATCATAGAGTCCTCAAGTCGACGAAACGATACATGAATTCAATGACATTACTACAATTAACGGAAGGTTGTGTTTATGCGAACCCTATGCCTTGCGTTATCTCGAAAACAGTACGTTTTTGGGCTTAAAAACGCAGGACCCGATAGTTCCGAGAGAACTATCATGATCTTGTTGTACGCATCAAAACCTTCAAAGCCCAATTTGTCCCGTATCGATCTACGGACATATCACCGTTGGATTTATTGAAGCCTAGCAAAATGTTTGTATCGACTTTATTTAGTTTAGAAAGAACAACAAAAGTGGAGAATACGATTCGCAAACTCTCCGTGAAATTCTGAATTCAACGGTACCCCATTTATGGTATTTGAGCATGAGAGGAGCTTATATCTAAAATTATGAAGTATGAAACCAATTTCGTGCCATACTGTAATAATATATGTGAAGAATGGGGATGTGGAATTGGGGATAAAATAAAAATTCTAACGATAATGGATTAAGTATTTCTGAAACGCATTATAAAACAAGAGGGTTTAGTGCCAATAAATTGGAAACAAATAGATTTACTTCACCATTTGATTTGTGCTGCGACTTCGTGGGAGAACGTGGAACTAGTTTATCAGGCTATTTGCAACAATTACTTTGTTCTATCTTAATCCTTGTCTGTTGTTCGTTTTATATGAACACTAATGACGTCTAAGGCGTTTCCTAGCACCTAGAAGGTTTAAACATCGATACATTCAGTTATTAAGTAATAAAAAATCCATAGAACATTGGATAGAACCTACTACAATGAGATAGATTGTAAATTGTGGAGGAAATAAAAAACTTGTCCTTAACTGTCCTTGTTTGAATAATTTTACATTTTCCTATTTCATAAGTAGTATCCATATTAAAATTTTCAAAAGAATTAGAGACAAATATTTGATATTAATTTTTAATGAAATTGTTGAGAAAACTTTAATGTTTTATATAAGTTTATGATCCAGTTTTACTTAAATAATTAAATATTTCTTTATTTAATTATTATAGTAATAATAAAAGCTAAATTTGAAGTATATTGAATTTAAATGGTTTCAGTTAAATAAATTACTTTCACATACATATATATATATATATATATATATATATATATATATATATATATATATATATATATATATATATATATATTTAGCTATATTGTTAAATTTAGCTATATATTCAAATTTAGCTATAGTTATATATATATATAAAATATATAGTAAGGGAAAGTATTGCGGTCGTGAAAATTTTCGAATCTGGATTTTCAACGGAAATACACGTTTTGAGGTCCCCGGCGTCCTAATAACCAAGTCCCGCAAAATGGCATGTGAGTGTGTGTGTATGTGAACAGTCTAGCTCAAAAATGAAAAGTCGTGCGGAACTGATATTACGTATTTAAGATTGATATATGCTTTAAATGTGACAGCAACTTTCTCCTGGAAATCGGCTAACCGGAAATGGCACTTTATATCAGCCGTTTTACACATTTTTACAACTTTCTCAAAAACAGCTCCAAAGATTTAGATTAAACTCAGTGTATCATTGTATAATTAAGTGGTCTTTAATATCATTTAAGTCTTTTTCCCTTTTTATTTCATTTTACAGGGCTTAAATGCTTGAATGAACAACATGTCTTCCACTAAAATACCTGTAATTTGGTTTATTTTAAATAATTAACCATCTCTCATTATTAAGAGTTACGAAAAAATGCAAATTATAACTTTCGAAAGAATTTGATAATTGGAAAATGGTTATGGGAGTTAGAAGATGAAGAAAAGACACAAGGAGCATATTAAATAAAGATGGCACAGTAACTTTTGGGTGAAATGTGTCATGTGTGTTAACTGTTGGACAATTTATTTGTGGATCTGTGGCAACACTGTCTCGACCACGTTCATGTGTGTAACCTTATATAGGGATTGGCGGTAATCGATAGTTGGGCACTATAGGTAGTTCAATAGTATCGATGAAGTACTATCGATTCCCCATTGAAGGATGTTCACATGTCTGTTGTTGCACTCGTATATTGTACATTGTTGAGTTCTTCAGTGAGTTACCCTTTTAAATATTCGTATAACGACGGCACTATTGTCCTAGAACTTGTCTTCCGATCGGGAAGTTCGTATTTCGGGTCAATTATTTGGAACATATTTTAAAGCTTTTACGTTCAACAACATTGAAAGGCTGCATATCCTCGCAAATCATTTTTAATACCACACCATGTAATTCTTTTTTACTAGGATGGTTTTTCTAATACTTGTCGCTTGATGTGATATTAAAAAAAACCTTTTTTTTTTTTTTTTTTTTTTTTATGTAATGCCTTTTATGCCCAATGTAATTGGGCAGCACCATTTTATTTTATTTTATGATAATAAAGTGATTCTCTCTGGTATTTACAACTGCATTACAAATAAAAATACATTCAGTAAATGTAAACACAAGAATATAATAACATGAATTCACTTGATGAGAAACTACCCACTGGTAGCACTCTAAAAATGTATTTACAAAAGGAGATCTCGAGGCCATCTTATTTTTACACGGCTCGGAGGGTTGTCAGGATCGAAGAGGAAACAAGGTTAGAAACGAGAGGGTTTGGATGGTTCTGAAGTTTGTTATGGAAGGATAGGTATCTGGATTGGGCCAAGTCAGAAACATAAGGAACATTAAGGTCGTTTGGATGATTTGTTTGTGACAAAGTAAGGAGCAGTGAGGATTTTACGAAGGGTTTTGGATTGTAAGGATTGGAAACGGGAGGAATTCGATGGCTTAGTGGAGCTCCAGAGCTCAACTCCATAAGTCCAAATAGGTCTTATTGTAGTCGTGTATATGAGTCTTTTGTAATTGACTGGGAGCTTAGAGCGTTTGTCTAGTAAGTGCTGGAGTAGTCGGAAACGTCGAGCTGTTTCTTGTCATTTCAGTCTGGTATGAGGATTCCAAATTAGACGTTTGTCTAAGTGGAGTCCAAGGTATAAAAAAAACATTAATATTACATTTCGACTTACACTTGGTCCTGCAATTTGCGATGATGGACTAGCCTCTGACGATTCTTTGGAATTGGAATTAGGTTTATATAGTCCGTGGTTGCGTCGTAAGAGATGATCTCTCAAGTTTGGTGTATTAGAACTTCTTTTTGGCTCGCGATACATATGACATGTAGCTGTATTAAAATCAATTTATAGAAGATTTTATTTCTATTAATAAAAGATTAAATCTAAAAATGTTTGCACTATTAACATAACAAAATATATATTTAAATGAGAAGAAAAATAATATGTATATTTTCTGAAAGTAACTAAAAATACAGCACCTAAATGTGAATTGGTCCTATAATAAGTATAAGAGAAACTACTCGTTTGGTTATTATTATTATCACGGCGCTACAACTTGGTGACGAGTCTTGGCCTCCTCCAGTCATCTCTGTTCTGTGTGGCCATCATCCAGCTCCTGACTCCCAAGACATCCCTTAAATCTCTTGCCACACCGTCTGACCACCTTAGTTTTGGCCTCTCTCTTCTTCTTGTGCCATAGAGAGGTTCTGTCAGGATCATCCTAGGGATTGCTTCATTATCCATCCTTGCCACGTGACCAGCCCATCTCAATCTTCCAAGCTTCATCCTCAGAACGACATCCTGATCGTAAAAAGTTGAGCGAATCTCGGCATTTGTACGTCCAATTTCCATTAATCTGCACTCCTCTAAATATTCTTCGAAGAATTTCTCTCTCAAAGATTAGGAGGTCTTGCTCAATTTTTAGAGGAAGCATAGAGCAGGACTGGACGGATTAGTGTTTTATAAATATATAGATTGTTATGCCGGTATAAAAGGCGAGAGGTCAATTCCTTGCGAAGGGCAAAGTAACATTGGTTAGCCATAAATATTCTTTTGTTGGCCTCGGCCTCGGGTGCATTATCTTGTGTTACCAGTGACCCCAAATACTTAAACTGCGCTACTTTCTCAAAGTTAAAGGAGCCAATATTTATGGTCTCGCGTGGTCGAGGGAGTTCTCCTGTGGCCATATATTTAGTTTTGCCTTCATTCACTTCTAACCCAAGTGCTCTGGCGGCCTCCAACAAAGCTGAAAATTCCTCTCAGACAAATTGCAAACGACCGCCCCGCGATGTCCACATAGGCTAATAGCTGAACCATCCGGTTGTAAATCGTTCCATTAGTTTGCAGAGCAGAATCCCTGAGTGCCTTCTCAAGTGCCAAGTTAAACAGAAGGCATGCTAACGTATCACCTTGACGAAGTCCTTTTGTTGAGGAGAACTCTTCCGTCCTTTGACCACCAACCTGCACAGTACACTTCACATCTCCCATGGTCAGCTTCACCAGTCGTATTAGCTTATCTGGGATATTTAAACCTTCTTGTGCCTTGTACAGTTCTTCCCGATTAATGCTATCGTAAGCTGCCTTAAAGTCAACGGAAAGGTGGTGGGTTTTAATCTGATGTTCGTTTCCTCTCTCTCTAGGATTGTTCTGAGGCAGAATATTTGGTCTGTCGTAGATCTTTCTTGTCTAAATCCGCATTGGTAGGGACCAAGCCTCTGCTCTGCAAGGGGTAGAAGATGCTGAAATAGGATGTTAGATAAAATCTTATATCCAGAAGAGATATTTCACCTTTTTTAAAGATAGGGCATATAACTGGCTTTTTCCAGTCTTCCGGCAAAACCTCTTCTTCTCAAAAGGTCAAGCTTAAATTCTGGAATCTTTTAAACAGTTCCTCACCTCCGTTCTTGAAGAGTTCAGCAGGCAGGTCATCAGCTCCTGGTACCTTATTATTCTTTAACCGACTAATGGCATCCATTATTTCTTCATTATCAGGTGGTTAAAGGTGTGATCCCTGGTTCCTGACATCCAGGAACAAGCCCTCTCTTGTATCTGATCCACAGGTGGCTGAATTGAAAAGCTAATCAAAATGGCTTTTCCATTGCAACAGGACCTCATCCTTGCAGGCCACTATATTCCCATCCTTGTCTCTACAAGCTTCAGGTACTTTTCGTTGAAGTCTTCTCTTCCTATTGATGATCTTGAAATGGTCCCTTGATTTTTTCTCCTTCCAGTACCTTTTGGCCCTCTCCAATTCATCCTTCTATCTCTGTCTTTTTTTTCTTTGATGAAGTCGTTTTTCTTCTCTCCTCCTCTTTCGATATTCCTCGACTGCTCTCCGAGTCCTTTTTGTTGACATATTTTTGTATGCTACATTCTTTGTATTAGTGGCTGCAGCACATTCTCCCTCAAACCATGTGAGGCAACAAACCTCACCTTCTTTTCTCTCAGTCCCAGTACACTACTAGCAATTTCCTGCATTGCGGTCACATAGGTGGACCAGAGGGATTCTACGTTTTCTGTATTTACAGCCTGAGCACGGAGTTGCCCAGTGTACAGCTGTTTGGCATCGGGTTCCTCTAGCTTTCCAGGATTGTAGTGATTAGGTTTTATAGCTGGACCTATTAAATTCGTTTGGTAGCTCTCCAATTAAATGATAGTATAAATGAGTAAAACAACCAGTTGGTAGTTTATATATTTTTGGCGCGATACGCCTAGGACAATCGATAAAATAATATTACTGCAATCAGTTAATAGAAGATCCAAGATTTAAGATTATGAAATGTCAACATTTTTGCAATGAGCATTATAATAAAACCTTGTTTGCATCATTGTACATTTTTTCTATTTATAAGGAAATAAATAGAAGTATAGGTAGCTTATAATTAACGTATTTTCATGGGGTTGGGGGGAGGTAACTACAAACTAGCGATATAACTATCGATAGTTTTTGACTATCGATATATAGACTGTCGCCCATCCCTAACCAAAAGCAGCTGTCAGTCCCACAACAATTTTAAGGTCCTTGCTGTTTGCTTGTACTACGTACACTAATGACTTGAATATACATATCATTGATTGATCTTAAATTAAATTTAATGTAAATAGAAGAAATAAAAGTTAAATTATTATAAACATTTCTGTATTTGTATTTGAATTAAATATTAGAACTGGTATCAATAATTAACAGTCAATATTTTATTTTTAGGACTTGTAAATTTTTGCTGAAAGGCATTTAATGTAATTTAGTGTAGTATTATTTATTCCTTTGTATGCATCAATAAAATTTATCCTTTTTTGTGCCTGGACTCATTGGAGTAGGGTTATGTTTTTCTTATCATTTTATAATTTATATAAAATTTTGATAAGAATTAACTTTTGAGTTGAGATTGCTTAAAAAAAACCAAAAAAAAAAACCTGTTACATAACAAAAAATATTTTATGAAGGTATTCTATAACTTAATAAAAATACTTGCCTGTATAACTTTAATTGATTAAATGTTTTCAAAATAAATATTTTAGTGGTTATTCAGGCTAGAACCATCAAGCTCGAAGATAACATGTTAGAAATTTGACACACTAAAATGAGTTTATTTATACTAGAGTATGTATATTGAAGATACTAATATTAATTAATTACACAATGTTGAATTGATTAATTTATGTAACTCGCTTACCTAAAATTAAAAATAATATAGTACTTTTAATCAATGATTTGAATTTAAAAGAAAAAAAACTAACTATGTGATTTTCGATTCTATGTAAAAAAAGTACTTTTTTTTGTAATTAGTGTTTTGATAGGAATATTTAACTAATCAATCTTATTAAGAACTGTCATTATTAATACCTTCTCTAATTATTTTTTATCTCTTTCAGCATTAAAGGCCAGATTAATCAATACACATCCCATCTGAAGGAAGTATTTATATTCTGTAAAAGTAAATATTTATTCATTAAATTCAATAATGTTTTGATAAGATGTCTATAAGAAATGGCCTTTCATCTAATCTTTCTTGATTTCAGTTCTTGATTTACTGCTTGTTTTATCTATCTTTGTTTCGAAATTCAATGATAGATTGATTACATTAGTGTGCTGAAAATGACCCAAGAAACACCATATTTTTTAATATTGTCAATAATCTTTTTAAATACAGTATTTGCGACTTCTAACTATGTGTTAGATGAATCATGTGGATTGCCAAATGATCTTAAAGCTGAAATTCAAAGCTACCAACCTATTGTGAACAAAATTATAAAATCTGCTGTATCAGGACCACACAAATCAAAAACTTATAAGGAACTAGCAGATTTTGTTGATAAGTTTGGTTACAGGATTTCTGGATCTGAAAATCTTGAGCATGCTATTGACTATATGCTTAATAAGTCTATTTCTTATAAATTAGACAATGTTCATGGAGAACCTGTTATGATTCCTCATTGGGTTAGGTAAGTTAATAAGGTATTACTAAATTGGCTTTAGCAGATTGATAAGGGGTATAACTAGGTTGCAGTGCCTGCTTAAATTTTATTTATAAGCTGCTTTATAGTATGTGATATTTGTATTTTATTTCATTCAAAATTTCCATTATACAGTTGCTTTATTGATAAGCTAAAATTATTTATTTTAATACATTTTGTATTTTTTTTTAATTTCTTGCAATTGGCGAGCGCTTCTGAAGATCGACTTTGGCTTTTAGTAGATACTCAAATTGCTGTGGCATTGAATTAACTAATTTTCCATTATTGGTGCAGGAATTTTACAACTTATACTGTAGTAAATTCAATTTGATTTTCATTACTTTTTGGCCATTCTTTTCTTTTGATATGGCTGAGATTAGTTGCTTTGACATTCCAGCCTGGACAATCCACAATATATTTTTTGGATGCTTCATAAAAACTAATCAAATGAGTTACCAATTAAGAACTACTCCATCAGTTCCCTCATATTTAGTTTGTTTTTTATTTTTTATCATTGATGCGCCTTATGGTCCCTACTGCTTTGCATTAACATAATTTTTGTTTTAGGGGACATGAAGAGGCAACTTTGCTTAGTCCTCGAGAGACAAACTTGAGCATTCTAGGTTTAGGTGGCAGTATTGCCACTCCTCCTGAAGGAATAACTGCTTCAGTTCTTGTTGTAGAAAGCTTTGATGAACTGAAAAACAAATCCAATGAGGTCAGCTTATATGAACTTTTAAAATATATATATAGTGCCTGTATATTATGATGATATAAACAATGTTATATTTTAGGCTAAAGGAAAAATTGTTGTATTTGTTGAAGAATGGGTGAACTATGGTGTAACAGTTAAATATCGTGATTATGCAGCAGTGGAGGGGGCCAAAGTTGGAGCTGTTGCTACTCTGATAAGATCAGTGACACCGTTTTCTATAAACAGTCCTCATACTGGCTGGCAAGATTACTCAGATGACGTACCAAAAATTCCGACTGCTGCTTTGACTGTTGAAGATGCTTATATGCTTCTTAGAATGTACAGAAGAGGTGAATAGCTAATCTGCTCGCTCATAAACTAATAGACAAAGTGTTCGCATCACCTTGAGTTGTATTTATTAAATCAATTTAAAGTTTAAATTATCATCATCAACAATTAGTTTATTGAGAGAGAATATTATTTAATATGTTTTTTATTTTATTTCAAAATTTACAAATATAATTAAGGCTCGTCGTAAACCAATGACTTCCTGTCCTTCAGAATCCTTTAACAACACCTCACTTATTCCTGTTGAACAAAACTACCTAGCGTTACCTAGGACTTCTCCTTGGAAGGTAACTTGGAATTCTCATACCAGACTGAAATGACAAGAAACCGCTTGACGTTTCCGACTACTTCAACACTTACTAGGCAAACGCTCAAACCTTCCAATTAATTACAAAAGACTCATATACATGACTATAATAAGGCCTATTTGGACTTACGGAGTTGAGCTATGGGGCTCCACCAAACCTCCAAATTCCTCTCGTATTCAATCCTTACTATCCAAAATCCTCAATGCTCCTTACTTTGTTACAAATAAAGTGATCCTCAATGACCTTAACGTTGCTTATGTTTCAGATTTGGCCCAACCCAGATAGCTACCAATGGGTAATTTCTCAACATGTATTTCATGTCATTATATCCATGTACGAATTTACTAGATTATTTTTTTTTTATACAGTTGTAAATATCATATAAATAGTAATAATAATAATAATAAAAAAAAAATTAATGCTAAAATTTTAATTGTCATGTGAGCCGGTCCCCCAAAGCACTATAGAGCTATAACCGAAATGTAGTAACTTGAATTTGAGTTTCCCCCAGCTAAATTCTTTCCTCAATTGGTTCCTCCACTCTTCTGTCAACTCAGCTCATTGCTTCCACTTCTGTCACTCCTCAGCCTACAATACTCTTAGCCACAACCTCTCTCCATCTGTCATAAGTCCTTAGGCCTCTCCGTTTCCTATCCTTGGTCTCCCACTCAAATGTCATTTTGGAAAGTTCACTATCCATTCTTTTAAGATTACCATACCATTTCATTCTTATTTCTTCTATTACATCCAGTAAATTTTTTCTTACTTCCCTCCTTTCTTCAATCATTTCTGACCCACTGCATCCTTGAGAGGACTCAAGTCAACTTATTCCAAAAATTGATCCCACAGGAATCTTTTACCTTGTGATTTTTCAAATGGCCACATTTCAGAACTATAAAGCAGCCTGTTTCTTTTGAGTCATCAATTTAATTGTAAGAAAAATCACTACTTTTTTTTACACAATTTTGTTATTTTGACAGGTTTTAATGATGAGGTTGGTATTCGGATTCTGATTTTTCAAGATTGAATTTGAAAGTTAAATTATATTGCCAAAATTAAAATTTCAATTCATTTTTGTTCAATGTTTTTTTTTTTAAATTAATTTTATTTAAAATCAAAATTTCTAATTCTTAATATGTCTATCAATATGTTATGTTTCAGGAAAAAAGGCATAAAATATCTTCAAGAAATGTTTTACAAAGGCTAAAAATAAAACTTTTACCTTAGACTTACACTATTTCTTTATGTTTATTTTCATAGGTGATAAAATTATTATCAGATTAAAAATGGAAGCTAAAAACATGCCACCAGTGCAATCTAGAAATACAATTTCTGAAATAGAAGGAAAACAAATTAAAGATAAGGCTGTAATAGTTTCTGGCCATTTAGACAGTTGGGATGTTGGCAACGGTGCAATGGATGATGGCGGTGGTGCATTTATTTCATGGTACAGTTTAGTTCTCCTCAAGAGCTTGAATATTCGGCCAAGGAGAACAATCAGGTATGTATGAATTTAATGCATATCATTGTTTTTTCTTTAGTTTTGTCTTTTTTACTTTTTCATTAAGTAATCTTGTGTGTGATTTTCATTTACATTGTAAAATAAATGGAGATAATATGACGTCATACAGTTCTTTATATTCACACTTAAGCGTATGCCTCAAGATCAGTGTAATAAAAATCAAAATTAACTTTTTATAGTTGTTGAAGGTTTCAGAGGATCTGTTTCCCCCTCTTCAGCAATATTTTACTCTCCCTAAAAAAATTGATAAGTCACAATGATACAATAAGTTTGGTACAATGTCTGATTTTAACTAGTTGGTAGTTAAGAATAAAAATTAAGGTCAACATTTAAAAACAGTGGAAAAGTTCTCTACATATTATATACCTAATTCAAAGAAAATTTAGATGAATTAAATTTGTAAAAAATCTTCCAGTTTTTAATTAATTAAATATATTTGGGTGATTCATTTAATAATGACTACATGTTCTGAAAGAGGTTTTAATTAAACAATTCTCAAGTTTTTTATGCTTAGTTTAATCCTGTCCTTGAGATTATAATAAATTATAAAGTTTATTACTTTTATTATTATTTTTGTTTAGTAGTTGATGAAAATAAATGTAAATCACATTGAAGACTGTATTTTCTTTTCTTTTGATACTAACTTACAGTTATAATTATTTACTTAAAAATTTAAATTACAGAACAATTCTTTGGACTGGAGAAGAACCAGGACTCGTTGGTGCAGTTAAATATTCAAAAGTTCATAATAAAGACGAGTTTGTTCTTTTAATGGAATCAGATGAAGGGACTTTTACCCCTGAAGGCATTACTTTCTCTGGAACTAAACAAGCTAATTGCATTATGAAAGAAATCCTAAGGTAATGGTTCAGAATCCATTGATACCTATGATTTATAGATAATTAAAAATTATGAATCTATTGCAGAAATAATAGCAACGAGTAACACCTCCTCATCTCATATTCGTATATTTAGAGCTTATTTGACTGATTTTTTTTTTTTTTTATTTAGCTGTAAATTTTAATTTAATTAAATATTAATATTTATTAGTTTTTGTACATTATTTTATTATATTATTTTTTTCTTTTTTTGATTAGTTTACTGTCACCAATCAATGCAACTAAGTTAGAATTATCCAATGATGTTGGATCTGATATATCAATATGGAGTAATCAAGGTATACCAATGGCTTCATTATTAAACAAGAATGAAAGATATTTCTGGTATCATCATAGTAATGGAGACACCATGACAGTCGAGAATTCCGATGATCTTGATAAATGTTTAGCTGTGTGGGCTTCTGTAGCATATGTTGTGGCAGATTTATCTGTTAATCTCTCCCGTTTATAATAAAAGTTAGCTGATAATTTTGGTAATTTTGATAATCAGGATTTGTTTCTTTATATGAATCTCAATCCTTAGCCCAATGGATCATTCTGTAGAGAAACACTCTTTATTAATTACAATATTTTGTGAATGATATTGGTTTATATACTTTGTAATTATGGTTTAACATACTTTATAATATTAGACTTCTGTATAATTTGCATTGCATTCTACTAAATTAAAAATCAAAAACAAAAATACTTAAATAGAGGTGGTGGACTTATTATTTTGTAATTTTTCAAACTTCATACTAATTTTGTCATTGAACCATTGAATCATCTATTTATAACTTTCTCAATTATGTTTAATGCAAATTTAAATAAATCAACATAAAACTGAGTAAACTTGTATTTATTAATTGATTATGTTTTGTTGCTGCTTAAATAAAGTGAAGAATTATAACAAATCCTAGATCAGAGATATACATGGATATAGGTAATAAGTATATTGTACTGGGTATTGTATTTCGTAATAAGCATGTTGGAAATAAATTAATATTTCTGAAAATATGTTATTTTTTAAAGGTATTTTTGGAATTTAATTATTTTATTAAAACATTAATTTTATTTTTACTTTCGATATCCTTTTTCATACTTTTATCATTTTACAATTTTCTTTATTAGAATTAGTGGAATGAATTCAATTGATAATTTTTTTACAAACCCTATACAATATTAATTATTGTTACTAATAATTTGTAATTTGACCTCAATATTCATATTATAATGTAATAATAAAATATATATTTAATAAATAACCTACACTTACTAAATAAAATGTATTTGTGAACTTATTTTACATAAAACCATAATCTTTACATTAGTATGTAGTTAGATTTTAGTAAATTTTTAAATATTGGTTGATTATATTATATATATATATATATATATATATATATATATATAATAGATGCTTCTGATGTTGCATAATATATAGGCATTTTCATATATATATATATATATATATATATATATATATATATATATATATATGAAAATGCCTATATATTATGCAACCATCAGAAGCAAACTGGACTATGGTTCAAGCATTTATGTTTTGCTTTCTTTAATCTTATTTAATAAATTCCCTTTCATTTTCTTTATCTCACGTTTCATGTAGATCAGTTATAATCCATTATTATTTAATATTCATTAACTCTGAATTATGCTATCTCCTTAATTTATTCCATATTATATTATTATTCTATATTTTTCCTTAATATATACTATATTACAGTATACTACCTCTTTAATTTTAATTATTTTTTAGGCATTCTCCATTATTACTTAACATTTATTATCTTTGCATTATACTATCTTCTTAATTTACCTTATTTCCATCCTCCTTCAATTAAACATTTATTTAATAACTCATAGAATTTATCTATAATAAATCTCTTGGCCATTATATACGTTTCTGTGCTTAGTCCAGATATTTTAGTCAATCATTACAGATGGCGCTATGTAGTTCTACTCTTTCCTGCTATAATACTTTTGTATTTTCACACTTCTTTGATAGACCATGTCTTTTTATCTTTCTTATCTTAGTTTTCTCCTTTTTTTTTCTCTTTTCCGTCACTCTATTTTCCATCTCTATTTTGTATATATTGATTTATTTTCTTGTTTATCTTTTTACATTATTTTAACTTTTTATTCTCTTATATGAAGTCAGTATATTTTGATAGATTTTACAATATCTCAATTTTCTATTTATATCTATTATTTCCTTACATAACTTCAGATTCCTTTTCTCTGTTTTGCATTTTTCTAAGATTAACATTTTTCATTTCTTATGTTACCTTATATTGATTATTTTTATTATATTAGTCCGTACTTTTTTTCCATTATTATTTATTTCTTAGTTCTTTGTTGATGTTATTATTCTACCTACTTCTTATTAATTTAATGTTCGCTCTAACTACTTTATTTTACTTTAAGTTTATTCTTCCTACATTTTTTAGTCTATACCTTTCACCTTTTTAATTTTAATTCTTTATTATTCAATGTTTATAGTTTCTCATACCTATTGTTATCAGGTTTTTTCTTAGCCCTGATAAAGGACTGAGCTTCGGGCCGAAATGTCAGCAAATGTAAAAATAAATATAATTATTTATTTATACTATTTTTTCTTTTGACTGATCACCCCAACCATCCTTCTCTTCAATTATTCACTACAGTCAACTATCAATTCACAATCATTTATGTATTTGTTTGTCCCATAGTTTGAGAAATCTAAACACCTTTAAAATACTAGTCTAGCTTAAGAGTTTGGATTTAAGCTTACTGACTTGCAATTTAGTCTTTAAATGAGTTTTCATAATATTCACTTTGTCGAGTTCGGTAATGGCTTGCAGAACACAAAACAATGCAGACTCCTAAATCCTATTTTTAAATTAATACTTTCATTGTTAGTGTCTTTATCAAGAAAATTATTTCTAAAGATCCATTTTTGAAGAAAATAGAAATATTAACAAATGTTTTGAGTAGAGGATTTCTCTCTTTATACTCTTTGTTATCTATTTTTTTTTAAAAAGGTAAATTTAGTCAAGATTGGAGAAAAGTTTCCTCTAGGAGCTCTGCAATAAGATCATAAATTTATACAAATGTACTAAAAGACGATGATTTACATTTAAATTTAAATGAATTTAGATAAAATTTTGTCTAATGTCATCCTGAAGGCTTAAGTGTTGTTGACCATATATCCTTTGTTCTTGAAAGCAAGCAGTATTGCACTGGTGCCTTTCTGGACGTAGCGCAAGCTTTCGACCAGGTGGACCAGGCACGATGGTTTGCTTTTCAAGCTTAAAATTCATTTACTCTAATTCTTGTATTTAGTCCTCAAATCCTACCTCTCCAATAATTCCTTCTGAGTATGCTGTGGCTTACATTTAAATTTAAATGAATCTGGATAAAATTTTGTCTAATGTCATCCTGAAATAAACAAAAGTTTAATATAACACCACAGCCAAGAAAAAAAAAAACTGTGAATGAATATAATCAGTTTTGAAAGTGAAGATCTTATTTATAGATGACGGGAACTGAAAGCATAAAGGTGGTCAGGAAGAAGCAGCAAGCCCGGAAATCATAAATAAATATAGCCTGGAAATCATAAATCTTCAAGAAAAATCAGAGAACAAGCTGGTAGAGTATAGAAGTGCAAGAAATGAATGCCAAATAGCAGGGGGGCCAAAAGAAGAACTTGGAAAAATTCAAACAAGCGTTTGGAAAAAATCATCAGAAGAATATCAATCAATTGATGGACAGTTAAACTCCTGATAAGAAAACATAAGAAGCCTATTAGAAATATCAAAGACATCAAGGGGCACAAAAATCATGGTGACTGAAGAATTCCTTGACAGATGGAATGCTCATTTTGGAGTTCTATACTTCTAATCAATGGTAAATGCAGTACAAGCCAGGAATTATTAGAAGAAGAGGAGATAACTGATGTCATAAACAAAATGAAGTTTATATAAATCAGGAAGAGATGGCTTGGATTTGAAATTCATCAAATATGGCAGCCAAGAATTACAGATTACCCCTTCAAAGGCTGCTTCAAGAAATATGGGATTCCAGAAGAATACCAGAGGACTTGAAAAACAGCATTGTAATTCTGATGTATCAAAAAGGGCAGCCCAACAGAATTATTTGAAATTTCATAATATTTTAAAATTGTATTAATTATCCTAGTAGCTGATAATTAAGGATGCTTATTAGTCTTATTATAGTTTAGACTGAAAACAAAGAGATAAATAAAGTAATTTGTTCTATCTAATACTCAATATCAACAGATGTTTTGAGTTGTTTACAAATTTATAATGTCAAACAATAATTAATCTTCCTTGATTTTGTTTATTTATTTTTTTAATTGACAAGCTCTTGATAATCAATTATATTGCTAAGAAGTGTGTAGTTCTGTAATTGTTATCAGATGTTTTTGTTTTCAAATCAAAACATTTTTTATGGATCACTTAAGAAAAAAAAATTATTTGTATATATATGAGAATAATAATTTATATTACTGAAAATAGATAATCAAGAAAATCCAGGCCTAGGTATTGCACTATCAAATGTATGATATGAAGATCAGGTTCTTTACCAATGACGGTCTCTGCATAATTAATTATTCTACACCTTAGATATGAGAAGATTACAGTATAACATATGAATGTATAATAGGAAAATTTAATACTGCAACCATGGACCTAGAATATCTTGATCGTCAAATTATTATCTTTATTTTAACTTTTTTTCAGTGACATTGACATTTAAATTTTAATTTAACACAAAACTTAATTACTCATAGTCAATTATTTATAATGGTTAAATTATTTGCAATACATTTTTACTTTCACTTACCTATATATGTAATATATATATAATAAGGGAAAGTATTGCGATCATGATGTGGGAGATATGAAAAGATGTGGGACATTGGTTTGCCTGGGATATTGGTTTTGAGTCTCCTGGTTCAGTGAACCTTGTCGTTATTACTGATGAATTATGGATTAGGAGATCTCAAGTCGTAAATGGAAAGTCTAGGTGATGGAAATTTTTCCTGGATCCGTGTTCCCTACATGCTATAAAATGTCGTATTTATGGTTTATAGACTCTTCTAATGCTTTGTAGCAAAATGTATACATAAGGTAATCTTCAGTGATTATTAGTTTAGGTTGAGATTAATTCCATGGCAGTTTAAATCCTTCTATCTTATGATAGTAGATAATAAAATAATAAAATAGAAATTTAATTATGTCAATTTTGTATTTCTGCTAGAACTGAGAATAGTAAAGAAATAAATTGATTTAAAATGGGAATTGGAAAATATGAAATTTATTTTTAAGGAAAACATAAGTGAAAATTCATATGAAGATTTTAAAAGTTTTAATTATGTATTATTATTTTTTTTTTTTATGAATTATTAGACCCCACTGAATTATTACAACCCAACCCATTGTGAAATGACTAATTAAATTCAGATTGGTATTTGCCAATGTATCACCGCACAATGGTTCTATACTCGATTATTTTGGTTATAATTCCTTAGCTCAGCTATATTCATCATATTTTAACGTTTCTTCACATCACAGATGGATTTACGGGAGATGGGGAAGGGAGAGAGGGGAGTCTTTTGGCTGAAGCCCCCTCTCTCCCAAAATGGTCAAATGTAACCATATTCTATAGAAAAAGTATTAAAAAATATCTCTTAAGGTATTATTGTTCATGTAGTTACATTTAATAGGACTTAATTTAATTTGAAAAAAAAAGAAAAGAAAGAAATATGACCTAATCTATATGACATATATGACATAGTTATATATGACATATTAAAACCTATATGACATAGTTTTTAAGTGATTCTTGTGTAATTAAATGTAATTACACAGAAAATAGTTCTTTAAGAGAAGGTTTTTAATATTTTTTTTTCAATAAAACATAGTTATATTTTACCATTTTATCAATACTTATTTGATCACACTCAACCACCAGGTTTTCTTCCTTAATTACTATTGACCAATTAATCGAGGCTAGTGTGCCTCAGAGGGGTCTCACAATCTTAGGGTCAATCCAAAGCTGATGAAACTTCTTCTTTTCCTTGCTTTTGTGCCTCTCAGCTTCGAGTTGTGAAACACAATAAATAATTACTTGCCATCAGCTGGATAAAATTAGAAAAAAACAAAAAGCAGCACATGTATTGATTATTGGCC